TTGGCAGCTGATGTTTCTGGAGAAATGCAGTAACGTTTAATAACTTACAACAAGTTCAATAAAATATGATTTTGTATGGGGAGCGTGCGTAGGCGGTGGGCGATGTGCTGCTAGCCGCTTTGTGTAAGTGAGAAGTCCTGTTTTGGACCGAAGCACTTCTTGGACTTATCTTAAAATCCTGGCTCCATTACAGTCACTCTGGCCTCTAGTCATGAATCTGTTTCTGCAGCCAGGAGAGTAGGACAGGAATGTAATAATAACGAGGCTGGTGACAGTTTGGGCAAAAGAGACTGGAAATGACTGACAGGAAGTCTAACGTCCAACGTATCGGACAGGTCTTCCACCTTAAGGGCAGTGTTCCGTTAAAGCTTTATTTGTTTAAACTGTCAGACCTCAAAGTGAATTCAAAGACGTGCCTCGAGTGCAGAGTGGAGCTGGCTGTGCTTTTGACGTTTCTATTTAAAATAATGAAAAGTCTACAGCTGCTGACTAAGAAACGTCTTTTTAGTTGGGGATATGATTTGTTTACACTGTTATGTAATGTTCTCATAGCAGACGTGGGCAGTGTATTACATTATTGATAACTTTTATATTGTTGTTTTGACAGTCAAAAGTTCAAATGATTTTTTTCTTTATTTTCTACTTTCTAATATTTTCTTGACTTTCTAAATATTTTTCGACAAAGCAGTGGTGGCTTCTTTGTGAATGTTGCTTTGAAGATATGTGAAATTTGAAAAGAATTATAATAATATTACCTTTTAAAGCGCCCGTATTACGCTTTTTTCTGATCTATGGTATAATGCAGTGTTTCCCAAACTTTTTTCTGTGAACCCATATTTTAAAACTTAAGTCAATAGACACTATTCGTAAATCTGACCATCTGACCACTCGGATTTGACCATTATTGAACATTAATGAGGATAATTTATTGTTAACAATTACCCTAGTACTACTCAAGTTTTAAAAAATGAAAACCAGTAAGTGAAGCAGCAATAAAAGGATCCATAAGTTGCCTATTTGGACATTAAATGTAGCACATTTCTTTTTCTTTTCAACATTCAACTGAACCAGCAATATTGGAATAAAACAGTCAATAAAATAATTACAAAAACATTAGAAATTATACAGAACATGTCTTACATTTCTACATTTCTAATGAGATAGGTAGGCCCACCTGTCTGAGTTTTTGTAGTGTGTTTATCAGATTTATAGGCAGAACTGTACACTGCAGACCTACATGCAGATCGTGACAAGGCGACCCAAAAAAATCTCTTGTGTCCCACCTGAGGGTTGTGACTCAGTCTTTGGGTTATGATGTTAATTCCATCCATCCATTTTCTTCTGCTTATCCGGGGCCAGGTCGCAGGGGCAGCAATCTAAGCAGGGACTCCCAGACTTCCTTCATCCCAGACACTTCCATTAGCTCCTCCGGGGGGAACCCAAGGCGTTCCCAGGCCAGCTGAGAAACATAGTCCCTCCAGCGTGTCCTGGGTTATAATATTATTTCCTCATCAAAAACATCCCTGGAGTTGTGTTTTGTTTCATTTCATTCACACATGTTTGACATACAAAGTGTTCCTCTCTCAAATGGAAAACACCTTGTGTTCCACCTTGTGATGTCATGTGGTAAAACAGGAAGTGCTCCACTGTGTTTTTAAACTCCACACACCTTCACAAGAATCATTTGGATGATCTCAGCTTTGGGAATGCTTATCTCTGCTGAAAAGTAAAAGGAGCTGTTAACTTGAAAACTTTTTTACGAGGTTATAACATTATAACGTGGCTTAAAGGTCACAAGTGAGTTGATAGGTGTTAACTTTCAGTCACATTTTCATTGTCACCTTTTTAATTGCAGTTTTTACATATGAAATAAACTGAACTTACTCTTTGTAATCCTGCACCAAGACAAAACCACAGCAGAACATTGTTGATTACACTGACCCTGCACTTAAGAAGAGATGCTCTTAGTTTTACAACAAATATGAAGAAAAAAATTCTAACTCCAAAAGTTTGTGACATTTTTTTAGTTCCTCCATATTCTCCCCAAACACCTTTTTCCGGAGTTATCACTTCCACAGCACAGGTAAATCATGTGGCGCTGAATCTAAAATAAGTAGCAGGCAGTGGGATGAGGCGCACGGGAGATGACTAATAATGCAGGATAACTCAAACATTAAACAAAACACAAATCCAAGTATGTTTTTGATGAGAATTCTGTGTATCATTCGTTTAAAAAAAAAAAACTGCTTTACTTATTATTTGTCTCCAAAACCAAAATATATATATATTTTTAAATGGATAATGGCTTCCCGTTACTGTGACTTAAACTGTGATGCCAGACTTTTTTGCTGCATACGGACTGAACCAGTACTGAACCAGGACTAAACCAGGACTGAGTGTCGGGTGGTCAGGACTGAGATCAGGACCAGACCAGGACTGAGACCAGGACCAGACAGCTCTGAGACCATAGCTGAGACCGTAGCTGAGACCGGGACTGAGACCGGGGCCAGACCGGGATTGAGACCGGGACCTGGTATAGTCCTGGTTCAGTTCTGGTTTAGACCTGGTTTAGATCTGTTTCAGTCCTGGTTCAGTCTGTATGCAACTCAAAAGTCCAGTATTGCAGTTTAAGTCACGGAAACGGGAAACGGTCGTTATCCGTTTTTTCCATTATTCATTTAAACACAAAATCGAAAACAGAAAAAAACAAATCATTATCTGTTTTGTTTTTTTTTTTTCCATTTTGGTTTTGGAGACAAATAATGAAGAAAATAGTTGTTTTTTCATTTTCTTATTTTTGGTTTTATTTTGAAAAACAAATGAATGAACGATACACGGATTATGAGATAACAACATTATAAAATGGCTTAAAATTCATGAGAATCCATTTTGTGTAATATGGAACCACTCAAAATGCTGTACTTATGTAGGTTACACGGGTCATTTTATAGTCCATGTTGATTTTGCGTAACAGGTTTGCTTTAAACTTTGAAAAAAAAAACACAAATACAAAGTTAAAAAACAAAAAAAGTTTACCACACATCTGTTGGATTGGAATAACGCTGTCATGTGGGAACACTACAGACATAACAAGGATTTAATTTTTGTCCGTTTCGCCCACTGCCATTCCCTAACATCATTATCTCTGTCCTCTGGAACTCACTGAGCTGCTCCATATAGCTCCATTTTCATCTCATAAAATGTCTCGTCTTGACCCCATTTTGCTGTAATGCTGGCTTCTCTGTGTTGGCGGGTCTCAGCTGTTCACTTTAGAGTCCTGTAGTGCTGCCAGTTTGAACTAAAGATGTACAGCTTAACTTTTCTAATGAAGTCACAGCTTTAGGTGAAATGTTACATTGTGTGGCATTAAATGTCCTGTATTACACAAAGCTGATTCTTCCTTGAACTTTAAATCATGTCATAATGTTGTTACCTCATCAAAAACATACATAGAGTTGTGTTTTGCTTCATTCACACATGTTTGAGTATCTCTTTATTATTAGTATGTCTACATCTCTAAAGCTCAAAATGCTCAGTTCCACCTTGTGATGTCATGAAGTGGTAGTTTTCAAGTTAACAGCTCCTTTTATTCAGTAGAGATTGGCAAATCTAGGGCTGAAATTATCCAAATGATTCTAATGCAGGTGTATGGAGTTTAAAAACACAGTAGAGCACTTCCTGTATTATTCAGGCTGAATTATAGTTCTACGTCGACTCAACGCACACTGCCACCGTCGTTTTTGATTTATGGATCTACGTTGAGGTCTATGCGCTGCAAAGTAATTCACTGCCACAACACTAGAAGGTTAGGATTTAAAACTGGCATTTGTATATATCATAGACTGTATATATAAGTGGACATAGTTAACGCGCTTGCCTCCACGTGCCAAATAGGAAGTTCGCCAGGAGCCTCTTCCAGCTCCTTCTAACCCTGGCTCCAATTGACTTACATTAGGATCTTGTCGCTCCTCTCTCTGTACCTGCTGCTGTGAGCCTCGTCATTTTGGTCTTTGAATGTTCGTATTAACCTGCTCTACATGATTCTTTTTTTTCTCAATTTTGTACGTCAAATAAATCCTACTCATAACATAGAGTCCAGATTTGCTTCTGTAACCGTAAGCATCGCAAGCCTAATTTGAGCGGCGCTGAACGTTGTGGGTGACATCACACTCGCTTAGTCCACTTCTTTTATACAGTCTATGGTATATACAAACTGAAGGGGGAAAGCGGAGAAATGTATGTAGAGTGGTGGTAGAGAGGACCTATCACAGCCTTTACTGTCTGCGTCACTTCCTTCTGCTGTCTGCGTCGGTTCAACACGTAGTTACAAAATTTCCGAGGTGTACATCGGTCGACACAGATGCTCTGCAGAGGGGGCTAAAGGTGACTCTCTGCATCTTAACACAGACGGTTTGAAACATAACCTTAAACTGGGCTTTAGGTGGAACAGGATGTTTTCTGTTCGAGAGAAGAACTCAAATGTGCAGGGTTTGTGTGTTAAATGTGTGAATGAAATAAAACACAAGTCTAGGTCTGTTTATGATAAAGAAACAAACAAACAAATACAACAAAATCAGAAAATAGTGTAATATTGACCCTTTAAAAGTATCTAACTAACATTTGTTCAATTAAGGATGTTTTATTACTCAAAAAATACCACTCTAGGTTTGTCAAAAGTATTGAAAATCAGATACTAACCAATACTAAAACTAGTATCGAAATTGGATACTCATTTCTATATTTTCTTCAGTAACAGATCCTTTAGATTCAGAACTTATTGTCATGAAAAACATAGAAAATTGTCATAGAAAAACAATCGTATTACTCTGAAAGCATAATAAAGACATACAGCGCGGCTCATTACAGTAAGAGTCACAGCAGCAGCATGAAGGGCATCACAAGGACAATCCTTAAACATGTTATTGTGACAGACCACTCTGATATGGCTTCATGTTTGCACGTTATTGATTTGTGCTCTTGTATTCTGTCACTCTCCTCAGAAGCCTCAGGGCACAGCTCCTCAGGGCCCAAAGTGGATCTGGCAGGCTTTGAGGAGGGCGTTTGGGAGACCTCTGATCCTCAGCATCACATTTCGGTTCCTGGCCGACCTGCTGGGCTTCGCGGGGCCTCTGTGCATTTCGGGCATCGTTCACCACATCAGCAAAGACAACCGCACAATACAGCAGCCGGTAAGAGTCACCACTGTAACTTTACATTGTGATGTGGAAATCAAGGTGCAGCAATAGGTCAGTTTGTGCAGTTTAATGGTTGCCGGTGTGGTATAGGATTTTGACCCTGCGGTGAGGTGTCCCCGGGGTCAACATAACATATAGTATTTTGTCCCCGGGGTCAGAATCCTATTATGGTATGTTGACCCCCCCATGAAAATCTATATTTTATTAATGAAGAACTTGAATTATATAGAAAAACTTTAGAATATTAATACTATATCTGCAAATGAAAACATATTGACATATTTAGTGTTTTTTGAAGAACTCAGATGTTTTTTTTAATTTCGATTATAACTTTTGAATGTTAAAAATGACTTAGTTGTTTAAACACATATTTTACTGAAAATGAGATATGTCGTTATTAATTAGTTAGGTAATCAAAGTGATGTATAATGATTTGGAATCTTGTTAAAATAGACACGGTTGTTCAATTGAGTAGTTAAATAGGGGATATGAGAAGATTTAATAACACAACATTACTAAATTCAAGGTCATTATCCTTACAAACCATTGCCTAAATTGACATTATGATTAAGGATTATTTGAACAGAGCAAACTAAAAACCATAACAATGTAAAATACAATATAAAAAGTGACAAGATTGCTGTGTCTATGCAATTTTAACAATACGTTACATTTACACAAAATACCAAGTCGTTATCCTTCAAAATATTCCTTAAAATACCTTAAAAGAAAGTGAATATGTAGCAATATATAATAAAAGTAAATTACATGAGAAATATTGATCATATAAGTAACTACTAAAGAAAAAAATTAAGGGGAGTCAAAATCCTATAGGGGGGGTCACTTTATTATAGCGGTATGTTGACCCCGGGGCCAAAATACTATCTCACACCGGATCAATCTCTGACTCTGTTGCTTCTCTTCTCTGTATGAATATATAAGTGCATCTTAGGAACTGTTGTTAGTTTGAAATAACCTGGCTCACAGCAGATCGATCTGTGTGTCGCTGTGAATTGAGTTCTACACATCATCGATCTGTGAAGACTCCCACTGAAAGACAGCTGAAAACACAGAGCATCACGTGAGTATTTGAATCTGTTTCATTGAAGCATCACAACAGGGACAAACCGAAAAACTCAAAATTTCGTTCCATCCCGTTGAGAGAAAAGCACAGACATCTTCTCTGTCCGCAAATGCACCAAGCTGTTACCGTCTGCTTTTTGTTTTGGTTTGTTTGGGCACTTCTCCTTTGGCTTCCGCACAAACCTCAAAGCTTCTCTGTGCCTGGTCCAGCCGTCTGAGTCTCTGTACAGCGGGTTCACTCCAAGGTGGATTCATGAACTCATAAATATCACAAGAATCCATTTGGCTGTACAGGGTCTTTGTTTGTAAAGGGTTTGTCAGGGTTTGTAAAGCAGTAGGAGCAGAATCATGAGTGAACAGTAACCAAAAATATCGTGGTATTGTATCATCAGATGTCTCACAATAATATCGTGCACCATCACAATATATCGAATTATAAGTTCCTTTGCTTAAATGCATGGTTTTATAGTAGCAACAGCTTATAAACATCGGGAACTACATATCCCATGATTCATTTCAGTGCAGACAACATGTAGAAATATGAAGAAATATGTTTTTACTTAAATTCTTGGGATTATGATGGAAATAATTCACACCAAAATCTTGTCAAGGTATTTTAAAAGCACAAAAGTTTCCAATCTACAGTTATATAAGCCTCTCCAAAATATCGCAATAAATATCATATCGTGATAATATCGTACTAAGAGAGTTGATATTGTTACATCCCTATGAGTGAATGAATACTATCCCAAATAGAAATGCATTCTTGTGTGCCTAGAAAAGAGCATTTTTTGGAGTAATATGTTTTATTTACTTTTAATTACTGTGAAAAAAAGTGAAATGTATAGTTGGACTTAACACGAAGTCAACTTATTTCCAGCTAAACTGTGTATAAAGCCTTTTAGAAGCACGTTCTACTTTTCATAGTCCATTATTTGCCATTTTATCACAAACTATAAACTATAAAACAGTCAAAAAACAAGTGTGGGCTCCAGACTATGTTTACACTTTTGCCATTACATTTCAACAGGCCAGTCACACCTCAGGCTCCCGCTGTAAGGAGAGGCTCAGTCAGACTCACATAGGTGCAGAGTGAAGTTTAAACTGCAGCTCAGACAGCATCAGGCCGTCTGGGTGAGAGATTGTTACTAAACCCAAAACTTGGGTTGCACAATAAAAACCTCCAGGAGCTTTGACATTTGGGAGAAGACTGAAATCTGAACTGACAAACCAGTACAAGGATCTCATTCATTTCATGTCTAAACTACAGGTACAACAGCAAAAATGTTTTCTATAAAGACCAAACATTTTGTTATTCGCAGAGGACATTCTATTAATAATTGCAGCCTTCACAATTTCTTAATTGTGCCGAGTCAAAATGCGTTCTCGAGTTAATTGATGAGGCTCATGTTTATTTGTGTGTATGTGTGTGTGCGCGTGTGTGTTTTTTGGTGCGTGAGTGCATGTGGGCGAGACTGTGTTGTTGGGTTGTATAAGGTCGGATTTGCCTGAGCAGCCAGTCCCTTTTACATTCAATTCGAATCCAGTCTGGAACCGGACCATACAGCATGAAAAATCTCTGACCAAATTTTAGATGATCCAACCACAGCCACTCATTTGTGTCATGTGTCTCTCAAATGCGGAAGACATCTTCTCTTTAAAACAATTTCAAAAACATCTGCCTCCATCACTGAGGTCTCTAACTTCCCTCGGCTCCTTTAGAATGGCTCTATTAACTCATCTGAAAACTGACTGTCATTACTGTTGATTCTATTAACACTGTGTTTGTGTTAACAACTATATGAGATGAACATAAGGGGGGTGGGGATTGATGTGAGCAAAATTGTCCTGTTACTTGTGTTGTATGTATTGTATTGTCGAACTATGTGTGTGTCGGAGAGAGTAAACTGTATGTTGTATGCCAGGGGTGTCAAACTTAAATTCACAGAGGGCCAAAATAAAAAACTGAGACTAAGTCGTGGGCTAAACTAAATATTTATTGAAAAATTTCAACAACATCTGCGTGTTTTTGCTTCTTTTGAGAATGTTAAACCTTTTGCTTCTTTTGAGAATGTTAAACCTTTTCTTATTAAAAAGAAATGTTTAATAATAGTTTGGCTTAAACATTGAATCCAGAACAAGCATAATATAAAATAATAACAACATTTGAAATAAATAATGTCTCTAAAGCCTATCTGTTGCCAGTGGGCCAGTTCTAATACATATTTGATATGATCTCGTGGGCCAAATATAATTATATGGCAGGTCTGACATGTCTGTTGTATGCTCTTGGTCCCTCTTGAAAACAGGATGCTTTATCTCAAAGAGCTTTCCATGAATAAATTCAAACATTCTAATTCAAACATCCAGAACAAAAAATACTACTTCTTTTACCTGTAATAAGTAACAGTTTGGAGCTTAGATTGTTGTTTCTGTAAAAATCTGCACTTTTTCTCAGTCCTTGATGTAGATTTTCTCCTTTTTTTTTTTTTTTTTTTTTACATATAAGTAGTTATGTTTGTTTTGGATGCACACAAACATGACTACAAAAAAAGCAAGCGTCTCTCTGATTGATTAATCCTCCTGTCAATCATGCCCTCTGAAATCGAGGAGCAGGACACAGCTCCAGATCCACTAATTTTTGTAAAGTTTTGTCAAAGCAGTGTAGGTTGGTGAAAGGAAATGGATTGTTTTTAATGACTGTACAGCACTTTATAATTAAACTTTCTTGATTGATTAACTGTGTAGCCCTGAGATGCCTCTCCTTCAGCCTTTCGTCCTTGTTTGGTTTGTTTAGACCTTGACTGTGGCTTGAGTTCAGGAGTTCAGTCCCACTTTCATAGACAACACTGAGACTCCTCTTTAAGGTCATGACCTGAGGAGACTTTTGTACACTATACCCTTCTCACAGTACATGTCTTGATCCTATTCTAATTTAAGCCTCATAAAACTTTCATCACACTTACACCTGTTGTACCGGTCTCCAGTTTCTTACATTCACCAGACTGTGGAGACTGCCAGACACCTGCCAGCCTCACACTTTCCTTTTGTCATTCAGAGTTCATATTAGCAGCAGCATATCTCAAAGTCAGAGTGAAGACTATTATTTGAATTGTCTGACGCTAATTAGAAAAGTGATATGGTGTTTCAAGGCTAATAGAAAAAGGACTTAAAGGCAGCAGGGGGATTTCAAGCTTGGGTTATTCTGGACAGGTATGGTCCTAATCAATAATTCGTCCGTCATTCTGCTGGGAGAGTTGAGAAATGAGCCGCCTTTTGCGTAATTAATTAAAGTTTCAGAAAGCCCCATATCATGTTCCTATAGATACTTTGCAGCTGATGTTATATATGCGGTGCTAGCTGTGGGCACTACTCTGTCTGGAGCTCTGTTACTCAAGTTAGACTTTAATCTGAGCTTTATTTAACACAGTCTGACCAGAAAGAACTGATTGATGCTGGTGCCACAACAGGTGAAATGGTTTGTGCAGTTAAACTTAAGCACGTCCTTTTCAAATACCGTATTTTTCAGACTATAAGGCGCACTTGAAATCCTTTAATATTCTCAAAAATCGGCAGTGCCCCCTATAAGCTGGTGTACCTTATGTATTAATTCTGGTTGTGCTTACTGACCTCGAACTAATTTTATGTGGTACACGGCGCTCAAAAATCTGTCAAAATGTTTTAGTACGACTTTGGTAAACCACGAAGCTGCACCGTTTGATGGATTGTCAAAGCATTATGAATACCATAGACAGAAGCCTCATGGAGTAAATCTGACAGAAGCTGACCGCATCAGCGCACAGGGAGCGAGCTGTTTATTCAGCGCTTACAGTTTATGCAAATTTACCATGTAGTTTTAAGTTTAGTTTCTGTAAAACGTAAACAAATGTGCGCAAAGCTGCATGAAACACATTATTACTCAATGTAAATTTGAGTCCTCCTTGTAGGAAATAAAACAAACTTAAATTATCCACCCACATTCATAATACACATTCACCAAGACAGGGAGGCAACGCCGGGCGAATTACACCACAATCTGCCGATGGATCGTGGACACTTGGGCTAAGAGATCAGTCTCAAGTGTCATCCGTTTGTTTCGCTTAATGCGCCTTATAGTCCGAAAAATATGGTAACATTACAATCACAAACTAGTTTTTCAGTTACTTATCCTCATCTTTTAGGTGAAAATCAAACAACTAAATAGGACCATGGATGCTTGTATTGATCACAGGCTCCTGAAAATTTGTTATTTAAAGGTGCATTGTGTAACTTTTCTGGTGGAGGGTCCATCAAACGCTTTTCTTCATTAAGAAGTTGCTGATACGATACATACCTCGATACCTAGGCCACGATACAATACAAATTTCGATACAATGCACTTTCGATTTGATATGATTCAATAAAAAATAAAGGCTAAATCGTTTCTCTGGTATTAAAAGTCTTTGTTAAACCACATCTTGTGCAAAGTGAATATGAAACACACCAATTTTACTCAATGAAAATCTCAAATGTGCTATATAAAGTAGTTTCCTTCCACTAAACAAGCAACAAAACTGTAGCTGTAACAAAATAATTTAGTGAAATATACCAAAAAATACTATATCATCACATTAAACAATAGGATATATTGATATTTTGATATTTTTGCACACCCCTAGTCTGGAATCTTAAACCTTTCTATCTTCATGGAAACCAAACCAGACCAAGTTACAGGTCAAATCTGTGGATAGGCAACCCTGCTCACAGTCAAACTTGAGGGTTTTGACCAGTAAAACCTCCTAATAAATATTGGTAGAGCTGTTTAAAGTCATACTGTGGAACATTCTAGGGTGACGGACTCCCAACCAAAGAAGTTAAATAGTGCACCTTTGAATCCATTTTGTGTGTTTTTTTTTCTTGAGTTTTCAGACACTCTTAAAACGTTTGTTGACTAATGTGAGCTTTGTCTCCAAAACATTTCATCATTCGAGATTTATGTAGAACACCCCCAGACTGATGTCACTACAAAATATCAGTAGGTGAACACTATCTCTGCTTGAGGCTCCTGTCCTTCTCATTTCATCGTATAGTTATTGCACAGACTTGAAAAGATTTATATTTCTTCTTGCTGTGCGGTAAAATTGCCAATCCTTCAGCTGTTAACCTTGTGTTTGATTTGGGGCTGCTGTGAAGGATGGATTTGAAAAGGTTGGCCCTCAGTCTGAAAATGTTAAATGACACGATATTTCAATTTGTGCTTGCAGAAAAGGCTGTTGGGGATTTATTTCATCTCGTCTAAAGAGTTCCTGGAGAATGCTTATGTGTTAGCTGTGCTGCTTTTCTTCGCCCTGCTTCTACAAAGAACATTTCTGCAAGCTTCATATTATGTGGCCATTGAAACGGGGATTAACCTGCGTGGGGCGATACAGGTGAGTAACGAATCAGCAATTAGGCTTTCAATTAATTAAAGGGCCCATATTACGATGTTTTCTAATCCGTGTGTCATTCGTTTTTCAATATAAAACGAACCATGACTTAAACTGTGAGGTTGGACTTTTGCTCTGCATACGGACTGAACCAGGACTAAATCAGGACTAAACCAGGTCCGGGACCAGACCGGAACAAGACTGGGACTAAGACCAGGACTGAGACTGGGACTGAGACCGGGAACAGGACCAGGACTGAGACTGGGACCAGACTGGGACTGAGACCAAGACTGAGGCCGAGATCAGGCCAGGACCAGACCAGGCCTGAGAACGGGACTGAGACTGGGACTGAGACCTGGACCAGACCGGGACTGGGACCAGGACTGAGACTGGGACCAGACCAGGACTGAAAAAGGTTTAGTCCTGGTTTAGTCCTGATCCAGTCCTGATTCAGTCTGTATGCAGTACAAAAGTCTATTTCCATTTTCATTTTCATTTTCCATTATTCATTTAAACAGAATCAAAAACTGAAAAACAAAATAAATAGAAGAAAACAAACAAATAATGATTTGTTTTTTCATTTTGGTTTTGCAGACAAATAATGAAAAACATTTTTTTTTTTTTTTGTTTGTTTTCTTATTTTTGGCTTTATATTGAAAAATATATGAACGAATGATACACAGATTTTTTCTGATCTATGTTATAATGTTTCCTCATCACAAACAGACCTGGAGTTGTGTTTTGTTTCATTCACACATGTTTAACACTCAAACCCTGACTGCATCTTTAGGCTGTGTGCTTCACTGTGTGTTTAAAAGTCAGTACAACTTCACTAGAATTATTTGGATGATTTAAGCACTGGAATTGGCAATTAAAGGTAAAAGGTAGTGGTTAATAGCTGAAAACTACCACCACATGATCCCAGGACTGAACCAGGACTAAAACAGATCTAAATCAGAACTGAACCATAACTGAGTGTCAGGATGGGCCTGGATGTGCGCCCTCGTAGACCGTCAGGTGACCGCAGGAGAAAGGACCAGTGCTAAGTGCAGCCGTCGCCCGATCGTGCTTTGTGGACACCGTGCTCCGCGGGCTTGGGGTTCGTCCTCTCGCTCTCATGTCCAAGATTAGTCCTGGTTTAGACCTGGTTTAGTCTTGTTTTAGACCTGGTTCAGTCCTGGTTCAGTACTGGTTTAGAGCTGGTTTAGTCCAGGTTTAGAACTAGTTTAGAGCTAGTTTAGTCCTGGTTTAGAGCTAGTTTAGAGCTAGTTTAGAGCTAGTTTAGTCCTGGTTTAGAGCTAGTTTAGAGCTATTTTAGTCCTGATTTAGACCTGGTTCAGTCCTGGTTTAGAGCTGGTTTAGTCCTGTTTTTGTCATGGTTTAGAGTTAGTTTAGTCCTGGTTTAGAGCTAGTTTAGTCCTGGTTCAGCCCTGGTTCAGTCCTGGTTAGTCCTGTTTTAGTACTGGTTTAGAGCTGGTTTAGTCCTGGTTTAGAGCTAGTTTAATCCTGGTTTAGTCCTGGTTCAGTCCAGGTTTAGAGCTGAATTAGTCCTGTTTTAGTCCTGGTTTAGTGCTAGTTTAGGTTTAGTTCTGGTTCATTCTTGGTTCAGTCCTGGTTTAGTTTTTCTAGTTCAGTCCTGGTTTAGTCCTGGTTCAGTCTTGGGCACATGGGTTGTAGCCTATGAGTTATGTTCTGTAGGTGATTGTGATTGGCGAATACACCACTGATAAAGAGTCACTCAAACATGTTTGAATGTAATAAACACAACTCTGTATATGTTTTAATGATAAGATATTATAACATTATAACATGTCTCAAAGCTCACATGAGTCAATTTTGTGAAATATAGGACCTTTAATTAAGACCTGACCTGAACTGAAGAAGTTACTTGGATGAGTGGCAAAATTTATTCACTGTTAAAATCTTTTTTCCAGTTGACAGAATTTAATTTCGGTAATTTCAGAATAATTAAATTTTTATTTCCCCTCAGACTAAAATCTACAACAAGATCATGCGTCTGTGCACATCCAACATGTCCATGGGGGAGCTCACTGTGGCGCAGATCTGCAACCTGGTCGCCATAGATACGAACCAGCTCATGTGGTTCTTCTTCCTCTGTCCAAACCTGTGGGCCATGCCAGTCCAGGTAAGAAGGCTTTGTACTAAGACTGCAACCGAAATTATTTATTTTGATTTAGTTAAATTCAGTTCATCTTAATCCGGACTCATGGTCCATTTTTAAAACAGACAAGGACAGTGACAACATTTATGTTTTTAAAAGACAACCATACTACTGGGCTGATATCTTATTGCACTGAATATCATATTTGTGAGTGACATTATCATTTTATTGTCCGACTTGTTCAGCCTGCAAATAAAACTGTACCTTAAAGTTAGTGCCGCTTGCAAAGTGTTCACTTGTGCAGTAACAAACATCTTTGTCACACTCGTCCATCGTCCTCAAAATCACCTGCAAAGCGTCATCGTAGGCATCTGCAGTCTTTGAAAACTGACTTTTTTGTAATTAATTCAGAGGTGGGCATGATTTAAACATTAACAACTTTACATCATTTGTACAAGAACCAAACTTACGCATAAGAGTATTTGCCTGAGCATAGATCATCCATGATTATCTATACATATCATCATCATCTGCCATGTCCACACTGATGATATTTAATTTATTTTTTTGTTTGTAACAGTCAATACAACAAAAATTGTACATTTATATTCTTACATTAAATAAATATTGGAATATGGTGACTGGATGCTTCTAATGTTTATGATATGATAATAATGTGAAATTGTCCATTTGTTTTAAAGCAAAACCATTCTGCAAAATTGACTTTTCATAGATATTAACCCTGTTATATTTGTTTTACCTCACCATTTACTCATCCAAAATTTTTTATTTTTTTTTTGCAAGTGATTCAAGCATGTTTAAGCAATCTTTAAGTGCTTATTTTCGAGACACCATATTAGACTGTGATGGAAATTTATATTGTGGAAAGATTTCTCTCAATGTGTCTTTATGTAAATTAATGTGATTTTTGCCTTAGACCAGAGCAGTCATTAACATGTGTGAAGACTCAGCAGACACAACTGTCCCACCCCCCAGTAAACTGTGTGTTGTCTTGCTGTGTATGCTGCTGTGCACTCTGCTTTGATATGTATGTAATTTATACTCAGAGCTCAGATGCTCTGGGGGATGCTCAGTATAGATGTTCTGAGGAGAGATGCTGTGGGGGAGATGATTGGGAGATGGGTAGATTGGGTCCCCAGGAGTTGGTCTGTGGCCAGGACAGGCCTAGATTTTGTCCATATTTGCTGTAATAAGAAGAATAATCCTTTCCAGAACTCATCAGGTTTCAGAAATGGATTAATTGTTTATCATCAAGAGATACATAATTTTTCCTACAACAAGATCAACCTCCATTTTACCAGCATACGCCAACTGCTCTGTACTTACTTTGTTCTTTTGGAACAAATGAAAAAGAAATCTGCTGTTCACTAGTGTAATGTGCAGCTCTCCATCAGAGGTGCTGTCTTTGTTGTGGTGACGTTTATACTGACGTCGGCTCCCACTGGACACCTCATTTATCTAACATAGAAGTGAACGGATGAAGTAGTTTTAGATTAAATGTAGTTAATATGATTAACTGAGATTCAGGAGCAGGACCACGCCTCAGCCGCCCTCTCCTTTCACCAGCGAACCACAACTCACCTCGACCATGCCTCTAATTTCCCAGAAGCCCATATGTAGCAGCCTTTCCCATCAACCTAGTTTGTCTCGGCTAACTCAACCCCACCCTCCCACCCTCTATCTTGTTCATCTTTCAGTCATAATACCCCTACAAGGCGGGGTCCCGTTCCGGCTGAGCCAAATGAAGATTGAGCCCCCGTCCATAGTCTCAACCCAGCCATCTCTGCCCCGCTTCGTACATTATCAATACACTTTTTTTTTTACACGCCCTATGTCGTTGTTGGCGTGGTCCTAGCTAGTGAATATGATTTTAAATATGCAAATTATACCATAATGATCCACGGGTGTCAAAGATTAGAACACAAGCACAATAGCTTTTCTTTAACAACTGCTGGTTTTGTGTGTGTTTGAGGGTGCATTGAGCCCTGTACTTGTTTGATCCTTGATTCTGACTTGATTTGGTTCTGTACTAGTCCTGGTCTATATAGGTCTAAACCTGGTCTAAACCTAAAAAAACATGCACCAGGGACTACAGGTGGAAATAAGCTTTAGTTTAGTCCCAGTTGTAATGCGATGGCCAGTGTCCAGTCCAGTATAATCCAGATAACAATTATGATTATCGAAAAAAATACAATCAAGATTATTTCAATAGTCATCTAATCACAGTTATTTGATATTGCAGCCTTAAACATTGCAGCTACATTCTCTCACATATTACCTTTCGTCAATAAATCTCATCACGTTCTCTGTTGAGGTGAAATCTGTCCTATCAGGTTTCATGTTTTGCAGCTATCATCCTATTTCGGTAATAGCACTGTCCAACCATTTTCCTTTACACTGAGTATCACATAAACCATATCCTCTGTTTTCGTTTCAAAATAGCATGTTATCTACGGTTCTCTCAATTGCATCGCACTTTCCCATAAGGCTAAATCTGTTCTGTGTATTGTCCCGTTATAAAATAGAGCGTCCATAGATATTTATAGGTGAAAATCAGGCGTCAGTTGTCTCCTAAGGGATGAACTTAACAATGTTCTGAGTGTATGTGCATGACCTTTATGGTGTTATACTCGCATTGTGATGTAATGAGCAATTTATAGCTCTTTTACTGTCACACTGTGGTGGTGTGAGCCCCATATAGGGCAGAAAGGGGGAGAAGGACACATATACATACAGATTTTAAACCAGACTGTTGTAATAACATAGGCTGGTTCTTATATATATGCTAATAGTGAATGGGAATAATTCATGTGCATATATTTCCTTCAATTCATTCATTTTTCCAGCTATAATTTGTTTCTTCTTTGGTCACATTTTAAGATTTTCAAAGCTAAAAATGCAGCGCCAAATTTTCGTCACACATTTAAAGGTCCTATATTACACAAAAAAATTACTATTGTGAGTAGTATCATTAAGAAGTTGCCGATACGATACATATCTCGATACAGTGCACTTTTGATTCGATACGATAGATTTCAAAACGATTCGATACGGTTCAATAAAAAATAAAGGCTAAATCATGGGTGTGATACTAAAAGTCTTTGTTAAACTACTTTTTGTGTAAATTTAATATGAAAAATGCCATTTTAATCGTGAAAATGTCAAGTGTATTGCATAAATGAGTTTCCTTCCTCTAAACAAACAACAAAACTGTAGCACTGTAACAAAATAATTTAGTAAAATATACCAAAAAATACTCCTCTAATATATCGATACAGTAGCCCACGATAACGATCCTGTATCATCACATTAAACAATACGATATATCGATATTTAGATATTTTTGCTCACACCGAATCATGAGCTTTAAGCCATGTTTTAATGTTGTTACCTAAATAGACCAAAATAGACCTAGAGCTGTTTTTTTTTTCTTTCATTCACACGTCTGAGTAACCATTTATTATTAGCCTGTCTATATTTCCAAACCTCAAAATGCTTTGTTCCACCTTGTGATGTCATGAAGTGGTAGTTTTCAAGTTAACAGCTACTGTTTTTTCTTTTGTTGAGTAGAAATTGGCAATTTCATGACTAGAATTATCAAAATGATTCTAGTGAAAGTGTATGGAGTTTAAAAACACAATGAATCACAAGGTGGAACAGAGTGTTTTAATTTTTAAATGAAACAAAACACAAGTCCAGGTATGTTTTTGATGAGGAAATAACATTATAACAGATCAGAAAATAGAGTAATATGGGCCCTTTAAAGCAGCATATTGTAATAACATAATATATGCTGGTTCTTATACAAATGCAAATGAGGAAAATTCATGTGCACGTATTTCCTTCAATTCATTATTCATGCAGGGATTCACTCTGCAGAAGTACTGAGCTTTTGGACTGAGGTTTGGCTGCTGGCTTTTTCTAACTATAATTTGTCACTTTTTAATATTTCCAAAGCTGAAAACACTGCTCCAAATCTTATTCACACAAACAGAGAAGAGAAAACCACAGGATGTTACAAGAAGCTGCAGGGCCCTAAGCAACAAAATTTTTTCAGCTCTCAAAACATCATCAATTGTGAATTAATATTTAATTGTAAACAACAGAGATGCACCAATCTGGCTTTTTAGACTTAGACTTAATTTGTACAGTGTGAGAACATGAATCGTGAGCTGTGAACTTTTAAAACCTGCAATTTAGTCTTACAAATTGAGCTGGGGCTGAGTGACACGATCGAAAATATCGCACAGTGTATGTCCGGTAATAGACAAATGTTATTGATCCACAACAGAAATTATTTGGGCACAGTAGCTCACACATCACAATAAATATAATGACAAAGAGCAAAAATGTAAATGGTAATAATACATTCTAAATAAGTAGCAAAAAAGATAGAAAGAGACAGGTGTCAATAAGACATAATTATATGCATGTAAATGTAAAAAAGTAAAAATAAAATAGAAATATAAGTAATAAAATATATAGCTTTAAAAAAAGAGGTCATAGGAAAACAGTGCAACAATATGATGATTGACAGGACATAAGGTTATATTTTACATAAGTGTGAGATGTTGTACAGTTGTAGGGAGTATTGTCTGTTACATAAGGGTGAGTTGTTGTACAGTTGTAGGGAGTATTATCTGTTACAAATGGGTAAGTTGTTGTTGTGAGTTTTTGTTGTTTTTTTTTTTCAGTTCTGATTTCGATATTACAGCTGTGAGTATCTGCAATACCAGTGCAAAGACTGAAAACATTTATGCATTTATTTCCTACATACAAAAATAAAATAAGACTAAACTGATCCAAATGTGGTCTGAGACTGTTATTTATCTCTCAAATAACAACAGAACAGTTTTTATGTAACTAAAATTTCATTATGAGACTCTCTGGGCTGACTGCTTTATTACATCAATTTATTTGTCCAACCAGGAGATCCACCTAATTTTTCAGTATGGGTGCCGATATCTGATACCAGGTTTAGATCAAAGGCTCTCTAGTAAACAAGCAGCATTTTTGGACTTAACTTCTGCCTTTTAGTATATGGAAAATGGTTGTCTGGATTTGTAACTAAGCAAGAAGTCACATGCATCAAATAAGAATAGGTTCACATTTTCTTCCTCATTACCACTGCTATTTGGTGTACCTCAGGGCAGTGTCATGTCCCCAACCCTGTTTATTGTCTTTTTGAGTGACCAGTTGACTCCTCTAGAAGGTTTATCTGAGTTTTTACCACAAATTACAGAATTACAACAGCTGCATACTCAGATTATACACTAATAACTGTTTCCAGTGCATATCCAGCCCTGGCAATCACATGCTTGAATTATGAGCTCATTACAGCAGCTAATGTGGTCAGCACCTGGGGCATGAAGTCTAATGCCTCAATGACTGTGTGTGTTTGTATGTTTGTTTTGTTAACATCTGACAGTAATCTACTAGTCTTCCACTGGGGTGTGATGTTCTAGCCTGATTCATCAGCCGGTTTCACTTCGTGGAAACCGTCTGACCTCGCAGCAGGATTTGTTTGCTCGACGGTAGGCGGATATTTTTTTTTATTTAATCAGTCGCTGCTATTTGGTTGTGACGTGTGTAATGAGCCAAATCCTGTAGGAAGAAAAGCAATAACGTCTTTCCCCTTGATAAAATTCACCAAACATTCTCTTTGTTCCAGTTTTAAATCCTCGATCTTGGAAATCGTTGCCAATACAGAATGTATGTCTTCATCTACATCCATCTCGACCACTTTGTTTACTGTTGTGCTGTACCACAAAATGAACCCAGACAGGCGCTTGAGTTTGGCTTCACAGCTCTTCACTGATTGGCCAGTGCGCGATCTACAACTTCCGGGGTTCTTGCAAAACCGTCTAGTGTATTCCAATTCCTAACTTAGTTGCTGGAGAGAAATGAAATTGAGAGGAGGCACTAGGTGAGGCCAGCCTGGCTACTGATGTTCATGAATGTCGAAGAAATGTGTAAAGTAGCTTGTAAGGAGCTCTTTGTGCTGAGATACTTAAAACAAAGCTACCGCCAAGAAATAATGAACGTCTGTTACGCATTTACAAGGCCTATATTAGACCTTGATAAGAGTACTGCTCAGTGCTAACCTGTGGAGCAGGAAAAACTGGTGAACGAACGCTGCTCTCTGCTACACACGCGTATCGTAACACCAGAGATTACAGAACACTTGTTTTAACAGCACTGCAAACCAGAGGCAATTTTGCTTTTGAAGCGCGCCACGGGCTTTCACCAGCAGCTCTGGATGATACCGGCCTACTCCAAGCCCTGCCTTACAATTTGCAGCGAGTTACCTTTGTGTGTACTCACTCTGACTGCTGAGATCCTCAATGTGTTGAATGCTTCTGGCTGTGCTTCTCATTTTACAACAATGAGGGAAATGAATGAGCGAACACGGCTCAGGGATTAGCCTCTTGCAAACTTCCTTTTTGGATGAGAGGTGGGGGAAGGGGGTTAGAACACATTTTTGCATTTTAATAATTGTTTTCTTAATGCTACGTTCTGTATATTGAACAAATTAAGGCAAAACAAAACAAATATAGCATTTTCAAGAATGAGAAAATTTAATGTATTATATTTTTGTCCCTAAGACATTCAAAAACTGAAGTGTTCAAAATGCATTTAAATGCAAATATAAAAACCGAACTGACCAATAAGAGGGGGAAAAAGGTGTATTTCTTTTCTCTCACCCCTAGCTTTATGTGCACTGTTATCTCCAGGTCTATAACAGCAGCAGTCTTTAACTTTAAACCTTGTGTTTGACCTAACCAAAGCCATTTTACTTGCTCTATTTTAGCTTTTATAGTCTCTTTCTGCTCATTTCTCTCTGTAACTTATATATTTTATTTTTCGATTTTGTCCAAGTGAAAGTATTTTCCCAAAGACCAGACTTTTCCATGTCCTAGTACTTTTGAAAAGAGCAGAATCTCACTTTCTCTCAGTGTATCTCCTCTTATAAAACTTTGAACAGGTTTCAGTTTGACTTCACTGTTATGAATCCGCCCTCTCCAGATGTCACCTTCAGATGATTATTATTAAACTTTAAAGTGCTGCGATTACTGTGCCGGAAAAGGGCCCAGTTGAATAAAAGCTGCTAATGGTGGCTGCTTGTGTGGGTAGAGACAGACCTTCTAATACAATGGCCAATCAGGTGAGAGACTGCGGTAATAATAAGGGACAGTCTTGGTTCATACTTCTGTCACCCCCACAGATAATATCCTTAAAGTGCAGAGAAATGGACTGGGATGGTCGTTTAGCTGCTCAATCTGATGAAAAAGGCATTTTTATTGCAGTATTTCAATATAAAATGCATCTTTGGTAAGCCCAGTTGAATTAAAGCAAACCTATTATGCAAAATTGACTTTTTAGAGCTTATAGTTGTTTCATCTCACCATTTACTCATCCAAAGTTGTATCTGGAGTGATTTTTTGGAGCATTTATTTTCAAGAAGCCATATTGCCGATACCCCCATTTTTACCGCCATACACCCACTGGTCTCTACTTACTTTGTCCCCCAGTTTTATTTTCTTAATCAGTGATACGTAACTAACCATAGGAGCGGTCAACAGCTTCACAGCTCTTTGTTGTGATGACGTTTACAGCAGCATCAGCTCCTATTGGTCACTGCGTTTTTTTTTTAACACAGAAGTCAGCAGCTGTGAACTGGTTTTAGATTAATATTGCGATTTAAAATGAAGTGAGAGGCACTTAAGCCAGTTCTTTGTGGTCAGATTGTGCTAAAACAAAGCTCAGATTAAAGGTGCATTGTGTGACATTTTGGCTGGGGGTCCATCTGCTGCTTGTTGCTATGGATGTCATTGCTCTGCCTGGAATTTTCCACAGTATGACATTAAACAGATCTACCTTACATTTATTCAGTTACGGATGGTTTTATAGCTCAAAAATGACTCGAAAATCAGGCATCCTGTAATTTGGTCTGGTTTGGTCTCCCTAATAATAGAAAGGTTTAATATCATACTGTGAAACATTCCAGACAAAGCAATAACATCTTCATAAAGACTAGGGTGACCACCTGTCCCGCATAGTGTGTGGGCGTACAGCTTTTGAAGCCCAATTCATGTGTCTTGCAAATGACACCATGTCCCGCGTAATCAATGCTTGCTCAAAAAAATAAAAGTTGGTCGGTCTATCGCCCTGAGCCCCAGGCAGCCAAACGAACATTACATTGTTTCCCACAGAAAATTGGTTAGGCAAGACAGTGCTGCTGAAAAAGCGGGGTGCGGGGTGCGGGGTGCGAGGAGATTCTGTGTGACGACCGTAGTTTTGCGAGGATTCATGTGGTTAACTATAAAGTGATGCGGGAAACACTGACTTGACAGTTCAGCACACCACTGTCGCGGCGACAGACAATTCAGATGCTGGTGAAAAGTCCTAAACATATCCCCAAAGTCCTAAAGGTGTCCCCAAAACACTGAATAGTTTTTTTTCCTTGTGCCTGTCTTTACGTACATGCAACTTCACCATCCTTCCTCCCCCTTCTCGTTCCGTAAACCTCTGGAGTTGTGTGAGTTAAATCTTTTTGTTACTGTTCCTGTGGCGCTGAGACACGACAATTCCTGTTAATCCACTGACAAGTGAGTGGAGACTTGTGACTGTTCCTGCTGTGTTGATGCACACTGCAATGACAGTGAATCCTCAGACTCAATTTTTTATTATGATTTATGTAAAGTGAATAAATTATCATGGAAAATAAATTAAATTAAATACCTTAAGTAAATTGTAAGTGGAAGTGCATCTGTCAATTCATTCAATAGGGCATTATTAATATACCATGTAGGTGGTATGTGCTAGAAATGGATAAACCATTATCAGTGAGTCTGCCCGCGGGGTGGGGGTGCCGCCACGTCGGGTAGTATCCCACATTGTCCCTCAGAAACATCCTGTCCCCCCTTGGGTTTATTAGCAGGTGGTCACTCGCTCTAAATAGAGATACGGACTTGATGGACCCTCTACCAGAAAAGCTACACAATGCACCTTGACAGAGCAGTGCCTTCAGTAGCATCACCCCCACCCCCAGGGAATATTGTCAACGTCAGCTGTCAAGTATCAGTATTGTGAAGTCCTCGTAGTTTGTCCTGTATGTTAGAGGAGCCATTGTTGTTTCTGTTGCCCTGGGTAACAGTTGTTAGGCCGTAACAGATGAAGGGGCCTCATCGGCTCCATCTGTTTGCAAATGTCCTGGGGGTTTCTCAAATAATAAAATATGCCAGACCCAGTGGGAAGCCGGAAAACACCAAATCACCACCAGCAGCACCACCAGACTAATCAACGCATCCAATTGTGATGGCAGACTGAGAAGGGAGTCTTAATTAGGTCTGCTCCAGTGTGCCTCTTCTCATGTAACTTACACAATGAACAGTTTACAATAGTGAAAGTGCGAAAATACTTACCTGATCTAGAATACACACTTCTTGAATACTTAACGAAGATGTGAGTGACTCAGGTGGGCATGATTGACAGATGAAATAGCCACGCACTATCTGTCCTAAAAAATATCTCAGGGAACTGAAAAACTTGGCAGATTTCTGCAGAATCAGTGAGCAAAGCAAATTCTGGTCATTTATCATTTACAAATAAAATCAAAATTATCTCACCTCAGACCTTAACAATAAAATCTTTCATTTCACAAATCTGATTGGGCGATCATGTTTGGCCGAGCTTGAGACACAACAGATCAATCTATATAAAAAACATAGATATCCCCCAAAGGCGTCGAACCCTACCTCGCAATGGTTACACTGTAGTTTAATTTAGTCTCAATACCTCTTCTCCTTCTCTTTCCCAGATTATAGTGGGAGTGATCCTGCTCTACTACCTCCTGGGAATCAGTGCCTTGATTGGAGCGACCGTCATCGCTGTGTTGGCTCCTGTCCAGTATTTTGTGGCCACTAAATTGTCTCACACTCAGAAGAGCACACTGGTGAGTATATTATGACACTCTTTATCTGCTTTTGTACATTATGCTCTGTGTGTAATAGTTCCCGGCAGCCCACCATTAGCATCACTACTTCCTGTCCACTTCTCTGTGGGTTTTTTGCTGAGTCGTGTTAAAATGAATAAATATTTAAAGATAAGGCAGAGAACAGGGAGATGCAGGTTGACGTGACGTGATGAAATGTTAAAAAGTACAGAAATAGAATGAAAACGTAAGTGGAGGACACTTTTTTGTTATTTAATGATTCAATATTTTACCAGGTAAGTCTGTTGAGAACACTTTCTCATTTACAATGACGACCCGGCCAAGAGGCAGGATAAAACAAAAGCACAAACAGGAAACATTCACACATAAACTATAACATGAAACAGTGAGTAGAGACATGACACCATGAAACAATTGCAGATTAAAGATGTAAAAGTATTAAAAATGTGCAGTTATCCTGTAAAATACTCTGGATGGAGTTTTTAAAAGTTGACAGAGGTAAAAACAAACTAAGTTAAAAATCTGTTCAAGGTGGTTCCAGTCACTTGCTGCAGAAAACTGAAATGAGGAACGGCCCAAATCTGTGCAGGCTTTAGGAACGACCAGGGTTATGTATCTGTTGGAGCGCAGTGTGTGTCTAGAGCTGTGGATGTGCAGTAGTGAGCTGAGGTAGGAAGGAGTTTTACCAATTAAACATTTATAAATGACCAATATCCAGTCCAGTATCTGCGGTTTGTGGAGAGAGGGCCACTTCACCAGAGAGTAAAGTGTGCAATGATGGTGGTGAATGGTGCAGCTGTGACAAAGCAGATGGCCGCATGATGAATCACATTGAGCTTATGGAACACTTCTGTGTTTAGAGAAACGTTTGTGTAGGGTGACCAGACATCCTTATTTACCCGGGACAGTCCCAGTTTTGAGCCCTGTGTCCCCTGTCCCAGCAGATTTATCCAAAACCACTGATTTGTCCCAGTTTTATACAAGAAATGTCCCAGGTGTCCTTATTTTTTACCATAAGTTGTAATTTGTTGACGTATAATACAGAAATGCTGCTTCAAAATGACCAAAACACAAAGAAAATGTGACTATACTGACTCACATGTTAGTCATGAATGGTCTCTGCATAACAGTTTTCTTTAATTACGTGCTCATTTCACAATTTTATTATTACCAACCGCCTCAATCCAAGTATGTCCCAGTTTTTGATTTTGAAATTCTGGTCACCCTAATGCTGAGACATAGTAAATATTCCAACAAAGCAACAAACTGAATTATTTTATATATTAAAATAACTGGGTAGTAGTAATAGTCTTTCTTTTAATAAATTTGAGTTAGAATTGTTTAGTTTATGCTTTCTGATTTTAATAAAAGTCAGTCACTGTAAGCTTTGAGACACAGGGAGCTGGCGTGCTGTAGTGCAGAGAGCCTATTCACTATACCAGGTGCCAAAGGATTTCTGTGTCAAATCCCTTATAAATATTTATCTTGTGGGAGCAGTAAGCTGTCTTAAGGCTAAAGTCAGTGGTGGTAGGGCTGGTTAACGAATCCAATTTAAATCAAGATGGAGATTTGAGCATCTAATCATCAATGAAATGCTTGGGTGATTTTAATGAAGAGGTCAACAGCCAATCAAGTAAAAACTGTGTGGACTTTGGAGCAGAGTTCAGACTTTGGAGGAAGAATTTTGATTTTTTGGTGTCTGTTAAGGTGTATTATGTAACTTTTTTGGTGGAGGTGCTTTTCTCTGGGGAGATGTTATTGCTTTGTCTGGAATGTTTCACATTAAATATGGAGAAAGAAAGCTTTCATAGGATAGAAATCTGTGCATATTTGTCTGTAGCTGAGCATAAAATAAATATTCGTAAACTCTCGAATGAATCCAGTTGTACATAAAATGTGTTGTGTCTATTTTTTATTTCATCAGAATACAAATTAAAAGTTACAAAGTCAAGAATTACAATCACAAAATTATAATTATGCTTTCTTCAGGACGAATACGAATTCACAGACGCGACTCGAGTGTCAAATATACGTCAACACTTCACACGCTTTTTTTATTGAGCAGAAGAAACATCGATCAAGATGCCGGACTTTTGCACCGCATACGTACTGGACCAGGACTGAACCAAGAGGACTAAACCAGGACTGAACCAGGACTAAATCAAGAGGACTAAACCAGGTCTAAACCAGAACTTAACCAGGACTGAACCAAGAGGACTGAACCAAGAGGACTGAACCAAGAGGACTGAACCAGGACTGAACCAGGACTGAACCAAGGGACTGAACCAAGAGGACTGAACCAAGAGGACTGAACCAAGAGGACTGAACCAAGAGGACTGAACCAGGACTTAACCAGAACTGAACTAAGAGGACTGAACCAAGAGGACTGAACCAGCACTGAACCAGGACTGAACCAAGAGGACTGAACCAGTACTGAACCAGGACTGAACCAAGAGGACTGAACCAAGAGGACTGAACCAGTACTGAACCAGGACTATACCAGGACTGAACCAAGAGGACTGAACCAAGAGGACTGAACCAGGATTAAACCGGGACTAAACTGGGACTGAACCGGGACTAAACCAGGACTAAACCAGTACTAAACCAGTACTGAACCAAGAGAGCTAAACCAGGACTAAACCAGGACTGATGTATTTTTGACAGTAGAGTCTCGTCTGTGAATTCATATTCGTACTGAAGAAAGCATAATTGTGATATCGTGATTGTAATTCTTGATGTCGTAACTTTTCAAATTTGTATTCTGATGGATAAAATACAGACAACACATTTTATGTACGACTGGACTCATTCGAGAATTTACGAATATTTATATTTATGCTCAACTACAGACAAAGTTTTCTATTTCTGCGCACACAAATATTTCTGAAAGCTTTCTTACTCCAAAATTAAACCTTTCTATCTTCATGGAGACCAAACCAGACCAAGTTACAGGTCAGATCTGTGGAGAGGCGACCCCACTCACAGTCAAAATGTTGTTTTTCAAGGTATTTTTGAGCTATGAAACCAGTTGTAATTTAATAAATGACATAACCATAGAAAGAAGCATCTGACAGACCTCCAGACAAAAAGTTATACAGTGCACCTTTAAATGGAGCTTATTTATGTTCATGAAATACTGAAAGAGTTTTTGAAAATACAAATTAATTAAACTCGAGCTCGATCATTACGAGGGGAAAAAATAGCATTAATTTGTCTGTTCTGTTTATGTTATGAAACAGGAAATCGAATCATGACGCAGCGTTCATTGTACAATATGCAATAGCTGTCTGGAAAATTAAATAAAACACCTCATAATTTTTACCCCCAAGTGCCCCGCTGCAAACTCAGATGTTGCAATTATGTAATCGTCTTTTATATGAGCAGAAAAATGTGCTAATCTGTCAGAATGTGTACGCACAAGATAGTAATGTTATGTTATGGTAATCACAGCCGTGGGAACTTCTGCTATGGGAAAGAAATTAGTTTTATCATGTTGTGGAATGCTGAAAACACATTTTGAGTCCAAATATTATATATCCTGGGGAAAATGTATAACTTTTTAATATTTTACACTATATAAATTGGGGTTGAGGTGTGGTACATCCTATAGTTAATCAGATATAACCTTTAGAATAATGGCCTTCTGTGAACAGTTTTGAGCTTTTTAAAGGTACATTAAGCAACTTTTTGGTGCTTGTTTCTATGGATACATCACTGCTCTGCTTGGAATGTTCCACAGTTTGACATTAATCAGCTCTACTTTACATTTATTTAATTATAGGTTGTTTTATAGCTTAAAAATTGCTGGAAAAACAGGCATTCTGACTGTGAGCGGCGTCGCCTCTCCGCAGATCTGACCTGTAACTTCACTGTGTGTCCATGAAGATAGAAAGGTTTAAAGCCATACTGTGAAACATTCCAAAGCAATAACATCTCCATGAAGAAAAGCATTTAATCAGGCAGAAAAGTTACACAATGCACCTTTAAAGACCACATTGGATCAGTGGTCAGGTTGGAGGTTCAGTTCCAGCTCAGACCAGGTTTTACCATTGTGTCTTTAGGCAAGACACTTCACCCACTTTGCCTTCAGTCTACCATAGGGCATCTGTGGCTCCAATAATAACTCTATAACTTTTCACCATAGACTGTATAAAGATGTGGACTAAGACCCACAGTGTTCAGCTTCAGTCAAATGAAGCTCATCGAGGTTGCATTTATAGGACCGAATTTGGAGCTGAGTTCCATCTCAGAAATAGGAATTGATTTGCAGATAACATAGTGAAATAAAAGCATCAGGATCATGTGGAGTGGGTTAATATGAACATTTCAAGACCAAAACGAGGAGCCTGAGAGCAGCAGTTACAGATAGAGACGAAGTTTTTTTCAATACAAAGTGAATTGGAGCCGGAATCAATGGTGCCATAAGCACGTCCATGTTCACTTCCTATTTGCAGCGAATTTGCAGCTGTGTCCATTTATTTATACAGTCTACACAGCAAAAACTGGAGGGTTAAAATATCAGGGTAACATATTTCAGAGTTGTTTTTAACACAAAAAAGCTTTATTTTAACTGTTTGGAAGTTAAATGGGGGTTCGAGAATGTTGGAGTTATTTGCCAGAGTTGATATGTTTGAAGGTAATTCAACTTCCCCTAGTGTTAATTTGGCACCCCTCACCCAACACTTCAAACCCCCGCCAGAGAAGATCAGTTTGAACCAGTTTTATACTTAATTTAATTTAATCTTAAATTAACAAAAATAAAGTGTAAAAATAAAATTACTCTCTGTGTTGTTTCGCTAAATCAGGATAACCCTTCAAAGTGTTATCCGTTTACTCTCAAAAGGTTAATATAACTCCTATAATTTCAGATTTAAACAGGAACTTTGGTCCAGTCTTACTTAATTAACATTTCCAAAAACATTAAATTAACTCTAGAACAGATTGGACTCATATAAACACTGAGAAAATGTTAAAACTGATTCTGTGAGAGTCAGTTTTAACACTCCACTTTTTGCTGAGATATGGTTTCCACAGAGTATAGCGTGAATAAATAATGACTACAGTCTTGATAGTTAGTCTTGGGGAACACTCCTCCGCAAAATGTAAAATGGAGTGCGGTGTTCCCCAGGGCTCAATTTTAGGTCCAACCCTTTTTAATCTTTACATGCTGCCACTAGGACAGGTCATCAGGAGACACGGTGTTAACTTTCATAGCTACGCTGATGATACCCAGCTCTACATAGCCGTGTCTCCTGATGACCTAAGCCCGATCGACACCCTTTTTAACTGCATTTTAGATATTAAGTCCTGGATGGCAGCAAACTTCCTCCAGCTCAACCAGGGCAAAACCGAGGTTTTAATTATTGGTCCTGAAGCTCAGAGAGAGAGGCTCAAAGCTAAGCTCCAAACCTACTCACTAGACCCCTGTGAGAGGGTGAAAAGTTTAGGAGTTATTCTTGATAGTGAGCTTAGCTTTGAGCCACACATCAGGTCCATCACTAAATCCGGTTTTTATCATCTAAAAAATATTGCCAGAGTCAGACCATTTCTCTCTCAAGCCAGTGCAGAGATCTTAATACATGCTTTTATTACAAATCGTGTTGATTACTGCAATGCTCTCCTTTCTGGTCTTCCAAAGAAATCTACAGCTCCATTGCAGCTCCTCCAAAACTCTGCAGCACGACTGCTGACAAGGACCAGGAAGCGAGAGCACATCACCCCAGTACTGAAGTCTCTGCACTGGCTTCCTGTGAGCTTCAGGATAGATTTTAAAGTTCTTTTATTAGTTTATAAAGCTCTTAATGGTCTTAGTCCTATTTATTTATCTGATCTGCTTTTATCATATGAGCCCTCTCGGACTCTCAGGTCCTCAGGTAGTCTTCTTTTAACTGTCCCAAGAGTCCAAACTAAAACTCACGGTGAGGCGTCATTCAGCTTTTATGGCCCCCGTTTGTGGAACAGTCTGCCTGAGGATCTGAGGTCCGCTGCGAGTGTTCATATTTTTAAAAGTAAGCTCAAAACCTATCTTTTTAATTTAGCTTTTAATTGAAACTTTTATCTGTCTTAACTTAAATTATTATTATTATTATTATTATTATTATATTTATTTATTCTAAATTAAATTATCATTACTGTTTTACTTTGTCTCCATTTAGATTTTTATAATAACCTTTAGGAGTTTTATGTTTTTGTTTTTATGTTTATGTTTAAATGGTTGTATATATGGATGAAACAAAGGGATGGGGTGGGGGGTTGCTCTTGATTTTTTGCTCTTGATTTTAATTATTGTATTGTAATTTTTCTGTTGCATGTGAAGCACTTTGTGCTACATTTTAAATGTATGAAAAGTGCTATACAAATAAAGTTTGATTGATTGATTGATTGATACAGTGTGGCCCTTTTGAGAGGCTTTGTCAAACCTGGAAAGCGCATTACAAGCCTCATCAGCAAAACCCAAACATCTCACCACTATTCACAGGCTAAGATGTATTGACAATGATTGACAGACATTACCCTATACACTGTACAGGACAAAAGCTCGACCCATTCGCAGAGCCTATAACACACTGCTCCATGTTAAATGATACTTGATGATACTTGATCATGAAAAGCCTCATTCTGCCTCTGTAGGAATATTCGAGCGAACGCCTAAAGAAAACCAATGAGCTTCTGAGAGGAATCAAGTTACTGAAGCTGTACGCCTGGGAGAGGATCTTCTGTGACAGCGTGGAGGAGACCAGAGAGAAAGAGCTGACCAGTCTGAAGGCCTTCGCTCTCTACTCTTCTGTATCCAGTAAGACACTACAGCAGCCTAATGTTACATAACTGTCCAATTATCTGCTTTTTAGGGATGTAACAATATCCAGCTTTCAGTTTCGGAATATCACTAAACTCAGACCAATTTTTTTCAAATGCTGATCTTGAAATGATTGTTCACTCTTTTACTTCATCTCCTTTAGATTATTGTAATTCTCTTTTTACTTGTTTTAATGCTTCTACATTTAAGCGGCTGCAACTTGTACAAAACGTGGCTGCAAGGTTATTAACGAGCAAACAGACGAACACACATTACACCAATTTTATCTTCACTGCACTGGCTTCCTGTTAAATTCCTTGTTGATTTTAAAATATTGGTTTTAACTTACAGAGCTTTATATGGACAGGCGCCCCAGTACATCGGTGACTTACTGCTCCCCTACTCCTCAGGCCGTACCCTCTGGTCCCCTGGTCAGGGCCTCTTGATGGTCCCAAAGACCCGATTTAAAACTCGAGGTGACGTGTGCTTTCAGGCTGTGGCTCCCAAATTATGGAATGCCCTGCCCCCAGCCCTACGTGAGGCAGACTCTATAGACTTCTTTAAAAAGCAGCTCAATACACTGCTATTTAGACAGACTTTTAGTTGACTGTGTCTGTAATTCCTCTGTTCTTGTTTATGTTGTTTTTTGCTCTGTAAAGATTTACTTACTTACTTACTTACTTTAATTAACCGAAATATCGTGATATCGTATCGTCAAAGTTCTCACAATAATATCATGGACCATCACAATATATCAAAATACAAGCCTCTGCTTAAATTAAGAGTTATGGTGCAGCAATAGCTCAAAAAAGACAGCGGGAACTACATAGACCATGATCCTTTGCTCCATTTCAGTGCAGACTACAAGAAGAAATAACAGTTTAAGCACTTTTAAGTCTTCGTTCTTTGGGTTTGGGCTTTGGATTAAGTCTTGTTAAGGCATTTTAAGAGGAAAAAGTAGGATATTTCCAGACAAAATATAGCAAAAAATATCATACTGTGAGATGTATATCATGAAAATATCGTACAGAGAGATTTGGATATTGTTACATCCCTAATCGTGAGCCTCCCCACCATATCGTGAGGTTTCCCACGATATCGCTATAAATATCGTACCGTGAGGTTTATACCGTGACAATATCGTATCGTGAGACTTCGATATCGTGACACCCCTACTGCTTTTAGATCAGTAACTTGCATATGGCCGGTTATTCATACTTCTTTTGGTGGTATAATAATAATTGTTTGTGAAGACAAGTTGGAAGTTTTTTTTTAACTTGAAACAAAAAGAAGAAAACAAACAAACAAACTAACAAACAAAAAAACAACACACACATTTCTGACATTTTAAAGGTGCACTGCGTAACTTTTCTCTCCATAGAGATATTGCTTGGAATGTTCCACAGTATGGCATTGCACTTATTTATCTCTATGGAAACAGCAGGTTTACCATAGGGCCAAGTTGCATGTCAGATCTGTGGAGAGGCGAATTCATTCACAGTAAGAATGCAAGTTTTTAAGTCAATAAAAACTTGTGCTGTTGAGTAAATTCAAGACTTTTAATGCCATACTGGGACATTCCAGACAAAGCAACAACAGCTCCATGGAGACAAGCACCATAAAAATCACACATTACCCCTTTAAAGATCAATTTTGTAAAATAATGTCATAATGTAAGATAGTGATTATTAAAGATGGGGACAAGAAATGTTGATAATGTCTTTTTTTCTTCCTCAGTTTTTATGAATGCCGCCATTCCGATTGCAGCTGTTCTAACTGTAAGTCTATCAAGTTTGGAGTATATATAAAAGTTATGTAAATGTTATTAGATAAGGCCTGAGGGGATATGACAGTGTTATATTTAATAACAGCCTTCCATTTGAATGCATTTTTATATTGCCAATAAACATAAAGTCAGTGCCGTCAGCAGATGCCACTCGTTATTCATTGACTCATGTCCAAAGAAACCAATACTGATGTTTAATGTGTCCACAGTGTCATAAATAAGTTGTACTGTATAATCAATCAAGTGTAAATTGGTTTATTATCAGCAGCCTTGTGACAGACTGACTTTTGTAAGGGTTTATCTCAGCGTCAAAAGTAGCCAACAATAATAGCAAAAGAGAAAGTATTAAAACATTTCTACATCTAAAAATAGTAGTTTAATTTGCTGTGTTCCACACATTAATAATATTTGTGAATTTCAGTTCAGAGTAGAAGCTGTGCAGTGCTGTTTGAGTCTCCGTAGAGAGAAGAAGAGACAAATGTGGACTTGGATGATTGGGCATTGTGCTTTACTCAGTGACTCATACAATTTTAAACAGCTAATTACAATTATATGAGAAGAATTTTACTCAATTGCAATGGTTAAAATCAACTTAAAGGTCTTATATTATGCAAAACTGACCCTTGTGAGCTTTTACTCTTGTTATAAAGTTGTTGCCCCCTCAAAAACTTACCTGGAGTTGTGTTTTGTTTCACTGACACATGTTTGAGTAATACTGATTATTAGTCTGTCTACTATGGATGGGCATTCGATGAAATTTCCTTAATCGATCGTCGGAAGAATTAAAGATCGATTATCGATTAATCATTAACGTTTTTATATTCAAATGATCATCATTATTATTACTATCTGCACTACTAATAGCATAAATAAATTCAACTTTACGACATATAAACTGTAACGACTCTTGCCCGTTTGAGATTATAATGTGTTTAATTCAGTTTTGCGCAAGTCTCACAGAAACGAAACTTAAAACCGCATCGTTAATTTGCATAAATTAAGCGAAGATAAAACTACAGCTCTTGTGTCGCTGATGCGGTCAACTTCTGTTGGATTAAAAGACATGACTCAGTGGAATACAGGTTAGTGTGACCGTATTTGCGTTTGTCAAAATCAGGACACTGTACGGGGGACGGGAGGTCGGGACTCATCATCGACATTGCGCTACTCTCACCTGGCAAAACTTTTTCTCATTGGACACCGAAACATATGTGCACATGGCCTCACACTTGTCCCGACCGGAACAAAAAGCATGGAATTTCTTGTACAAGTCATCGTTAAATGTGCATTTGTGCTTCGGTACGTTGCAGGCTGACCGACTGTGTCTGCTCGCTCCTTCTGAGTACAGAGAGCTACATGTACGGACCCCTGTTTGGTCACGCTACGCCCAGCAACCTACATTCAGTTTGTCGATTAAAATTAACATAATCGATGAAATTCTTAATGATCAATTATCGATTAATCGACTAATCATGCCCATCCCTATTGTCTACATACTCAAAATGCTGTCTTACACCTTGTGATTAGGTTTGCGCGATATCCAAGTTTTGATACTGTTAAACCTTCTCAGGATTTTAGCAGGGTATACGACATTATTGTATTATCAAAATGTTTTAGTATGACTTTAGTACAAAGCCACACCACTATATGGTCTATGCGTATGACCTGCAGACTTAAAATCTCTGAAAAGTTTCACATAAACCATCTCCAACACGATAGAAGCACAGAACAGACTCACCATCAGCAGCACATCCTCTGTCGCAGAAAGAAGATGAGTTGTGTCCTTTAGTCCGACAGAAGCTGAACTGCATCAGCGCATCATTTCGGCCCTAGAATTTCCACTCTCTACTGAACAAAGGCAGATGTTAACTCCCACCACATGACATCGCAAGGTGGAACAGAGCATTTTTAGCTTTGGAGATGTAAACAGACTAATAATAAAGGGTTACTCAAACATGTGTGAATGAAACAAAACACAACTCCAGGTCTGTTTTTGATCAGGTAAGAACATTATATCATGTCTTAAAGCTCACACGAATCCATTTTGTGTCATATAAGAGCTTTAAAATACATTTCCACCCCGTGTTGTGTCTCTGTACTGTATTCTCCCCATGCTCATCATCTCCGTGATCTCGTGCAGACTTTTGTGGTTCACGTTCACATCTCGGAGGATGCAGATCTGTCCCCAGCTGTGGCCTTTGCCTCTCTGTCCCTCTTCCACATCCTGGTCACCCCCCTCTTCCTGCTCTCCACCGTGGTCCGCTCCACTGTCAAGGCTCTGGTGAGGTAAGCCCAAACTGCACTAAAATATACTCAGTTAACATTATTTTATAAAAAAAATTTACTAAAAATATTGCCTTGTTCTGGTAAATTTTGGTGACGTTTACAATTTTACTTCCTGGCGAGACATGGGCAGCAGATATGACAAATGTAGAGGTAATTATTTAACTGTTACCATAACAATTATAATGTGTACAGGGGCCAAAACAATTAAAGTTTTTTTTTGTTAAATCAAATCATTATAACACAGATCTGTTATAATCTTGTTTCCTCATCCAGTGGCAGAGTTAACAATTTGGGGGCCGTAGGTGAAGTTGAGTTTAGGACCCATAATAAGCCACAGAATCCACTTTTTCCCAATGTTAGTGAGACACGCACATCTATTTTGAATTTGGGTGGATTGGAAACTTGTTTTATTAGTTTGGTAGCCTACTAGATAGCCAGAGCTGAAAGTAGCTTTATTTTTTTGTTGCTACAGTTATATTTTTGTTTACATCCGTTACATATGATTATGATTATGTTCAAATCAGGGTCAAACTGACTAGTCCATTCTAATGAGAAAGAGGAGAATGCTTTGACAGTTAAAACAGATTTGACAGTAAGATACTATTATAATTGTGTTTTCTAGTTTACAAGTAAATCGCTCTCATTAAATGTCATATTCATATTCAGTCATAAATCAAATTGCTCTGATTCCTCGACCATTAGTGGCACTGAGGGCAATTGGTTGGGGGCCCCTCTAGGTTTGGGGACCCTAGGCTGCCGTCTACTGTTGCCTAATGGTAGCACCGCCTCTGTCCTCATCACCTCAGAAGTTGTGTTTGTTTCATTCACACATGCTCCACTGTGTTTTTAAGATCCATAGACCTTAGAATCATTTGGATAATGTCAGCCCTGTAATTTCCAATCTCTGCTGTTAACTTGAAAACTACCACTAGACGACATCACAAGGTGGAACAAAGCATTTGGAGCTTGGGAGATATAGACAGACTAACTTTCAACTTTAGTCCTGCTCCAGAGGGAAATTGTTGTGCAGCAGTGTCACACAAACAGTAGACATACAATACAATTCAATAACACACTAAAGCACATCTTAACCCTAGCTCAACAGTGCAGACAAACATTCCCTTAGAAACAGGCAAAAAACAAAAAAGAACAGAAGATGTAATCACATTTCACCATGACTGATCCAAGCTATGAGAGAGCATTCATCATAGTTATGCTTCAGAAATAAAAGAAGTCTGAGCTCTCTGAGTCCTGATCCGGGGCGTGCTCAGACGCTGCCCTGAAGGAAGGAGGTTTAACTCTTCACAGAGCGGATGGTCAGGGTTCTCCATTATTTATTGGGCCTTGCAAATCACCTTTTGGTTGTAGATTTCCTCTAGCTGGGACTGCTGTAAGCCGACAATTTTACCTGCCACATAGAGACGGCATCAGTCCAACAGACAGTACAAAATGCAAGAACAGATTCAATAAAACTCTAATAAAAAAGGGTCATATGAACATTAACAAATAACTAATAATAAAGGATTACTCAAACATGTGAATGAAGCAAAACACAACTGCAGGTATGGTTTTTGAGGAGGTAACAACATTAAAACATTATACCACATGACATCACAAGGTGCAACAGCGTGTTTTCTGTTTGAGAGAAGAAAGTAGGGCAGTAGTTGACTAAAGAAATTCTTGTTGGACTACAAACAAATGTTCTGCAAATTGATTAGTTAATTAAAAAGTGGGCGTGGCAAAAGCTCTCAAAATTGTTGCATTCACAGATAAATAAATACATAAATAAAATAAATAAATGAGGTTAATCTGAGTTTTTACACAAATACCAAAAAATACAAAATCTTCAGCTAAACCTACTCACTTCTTCTTTCTGCTTTTGTCCCATATAAATCCTTATAATCTTAATACAACAGTTTTAATACAAATTTTGATCGACAAAGACACCATGAAATACTGAAAAGAACTAGAGCCTGAATAGAAAGTCCACTTGTCTGTTTTTAGCCATTATGCAAGAGTCTGAAATATTCTGTTTTGTATTACATCAGGTGTGGGACATAATGAGGCATATCCAGGGCTGCTTGTTGAAATTTCAATTCAAGTGACAGGTTTTTATCTTGAATGTTTTGTGTAGTTGGTGGGATAATACCTGTTTTAATTATACATGTTTGTTTATATGTTTTATAGCAATCAAGAAGCAATTTGTGAAGAAAAGTTGGAAAATGTGTTGAAAATTGCACGAAGTAGGGAGTTTTAAAACACTGATTGCATCACACTTGGGAGAATTCTGTTCAAGAAACACATTTCTGACACTTTAAACATTATTTTCCACAAAATAAAGGTATTTTCTTATAATTGTATTTGTCAAATATTAATCTCAGTGCACATTAGAGGAGTTTAGGTGTAAAACTCACAAGAGTCAGTTCTGTGTAATATAGGACCTTTAAACTGCCAGAAAAAATGCTTTCCTTATCTCTGCATTTTGTATGGAATTTTTCAGTGTTGATGACATAGATAGAGATTGGCCTACTCTGCTTCAGAACTCAGCACTACTTCCTGTATTTTTGTAGCCAGCCTGGCGCCACCTAGTGCCTCTGCTCAATTTAATTTCTCTCCAGCAACTAGGTCAGGAATCGGAATACACTAGACGGTTTGCAAGAACCCTGGAAGTGCGAGTCCAACCACCAGCCAATCAGCGAAGAGCCATATATTCTGTGTTAGGAACGATTCCCGAGATCGAGGATTTAAAGCCGGAACAAAGAGAATGTTTGGTGAATTTCATCAAGGGGAAAGACATTATTGCCCTTCTTCCTACGGGATTTTGGAAAAGCTAAATATACCAGTCAGCCCCATTAGCAGGCACATTACATACGTCACGACCAAACAGCAGCGACTGGTTAAATTTAAAAAAGTACCCGCCTACTGTCGAGTGAACGAATCCTAATGCTGCAAGGTAACACGGTTTCCACAAAGTGAAACCAGCTGATGAATGAGGCTAGTATATTTGTACTTTTCTTCTCAACTTTTTCCACAAACTGCAACGGGGATATGACTGTGAGATGTTTTTATTGCTTAAAAATACCATGAAAAACAGGCATTCTGAGATTCCTCTCCGTAGATCTGACTTGTATGTAGGCCTACTTTAATTTCTGCTTGACTGATGTAAAATTGTGATAAATATTTATGCTGGAAAAGTTGTTCTACAAAAAGAGGCTTGAATGGCACTTGACGTTTTTCCTGAGCAGCTTTTTCGTCTGTTTGTTTTTAATGGTGAGGCTCCAGGACCTCGGCTCCTCAAAAGTGGAGCAGATCTGTGGAGATTTCTATAAGTGTGACAAGAGTTTGAAACACGAGAGCAAAAGACTACACTGAAAATGGGTTCAGTTTGTTATGAGTCTGATTAATGAACACATCACTGAGTTTGGAAGCTTAGAGAAACTGCACATACAAGATAACATTTTGGGGTTTGTATATTTTGGCATTTTTAATTGCGTATTTTTAGCTATAGAGAGCGTGTGTGATCCTTTGAGATGGCTATTTTGGGCTTTTTAGATCAGATTTGCCAGTAAATTTATTTTTATGTGGTTGCATACACAGCATAAAAATAAAAATAGCAATTGATTGATACATCAAAGGTGCACTATGAAATTTTTCTTGGAGAGCTGGACGGTCCGTTTGTTTTGATGGAGATGTGATTGCTTTGTCTAGAATGCTCCACAGTGTATATGCTGTTTTTTCCTCTTAAAATGCCTTGACAAAACTTAATCCAAAGAACTAAGACTTAAAAGTGCTTAGAACTGTTATTTCTTCTTGTAGTCTGCACTGAAATGGTGCAAAGGATCATGGTCTATGTAGTTCCCTCTGTCTTCTTTTGCTGCACCATAACTCTTAATTTAAGAGACTTGTAATTCCATATATTGTGATGGTCCACAATATTATTAACAGGTTTTTTGTAAGCCTCCACAAAATATTACAATAAATATCATACCGTGAGATGTATGTTGTGAAAATATTGTACCGAGAAATTTGGATATTGTTACATCCCTATCATGAGCTTTCCCACGATATCGCAAAAAATATTGTACCGTGAAGGTTCATATCGTGACAATGTTGTATCGTGAGACTTGGATATTGGTACACCCCTACCAGTTATGTTTATAATCAGGAAACAACATTATAACAGATCAGAAAATAGTGCGATATAAGCACTTTAATTCCTTCTTGCACTAAATTTCTCATAAATTTTTCCCAGACATTTCACAAAAAATATAATATTACAAGTTAGAAATCTTAGGCATAATCAGCTATGTGATGACAAATGAGCACAAGACCTGTGATTTTATTTAAAATCTTCTTTATTTAAAAGTCTTTCTTTATAAAGTGTTAAAAAGTCTTGTTTTTAAATGCGCTTTCTGGGCTTAAAATAACCGCGTTATGGATAGAACTCAACACGTAGCTGTTTAACCTTTGCAATGTCATTAAACTTTTGAAGGGACAGTCCGCAGCAGTGAGTTGTACTTCCTGATAGAAAGCTTGGCAGCGGCAGACTGATATATGACAAAATAGTCCCTCAACATGCGATGATTCATGTGATGCAAGGTTAGTTTTATTTCAAACATTATTCTATGAACACAGACATTTACATCGATAGTCTGGCGTAATAATAGTTTTGCTTCGGGTGTTTTGTGGAGTGGGTAAGACTGTTTTTAGTGGCAGGATAACTATGGCCATTGACATGCACTAGCCTAGCACCAGTGACCTCTGCAAATACTGGACTGGATGGAATATTTAAAAAAGTGTCTTCACACGTCTCCAACACTCTGGCTCACTAGGAAATGAGATCTTATGTCCAAAATTCTGGACTGTCCCTTTAATATTTGAGTTTTTCCAAAAGTCTATGGAAAAAATGAATGGAAAATTGACTGTGAAGAAAGTGGGTGGGAATGTTGAGCTCCATAGTCGTGTTATAGACTTGATTTAGATCTGTTTATAAAGAAAGTAATCATGTCTTTGGTGGGACTTGGTATGAAATATTTGAGTTATATATATAGAGAGATATACAGGCCAGTGTGTCTAAGTCTACCCTCCCTCTCTCCATAGAGCTGAATGAACATTATTGACCTACATTACGACTGCACATGTGACCCATCAGTCTGTCACATGTGGCGTGTATTCCTGAAGAGCTTTGGTTTATGGTGGTCCTGTCTCCATCAGTCTTTTATAGCCCCCATTTCCACTGCTGCTGCTTCATTTCACTGAGTCTGCTGAATCATTTTCTCAGATAACGACTCTAAACCCTGGAAAATATATGGATTTGCAAATAACAAATTCATACAAAAGTTCATTCCAGGTTTGGCAGCAGATAAATGACCCTATTTGCTTTTTTAATAACACCAGGTTTGTGACATTTTCCATGAATCACACTCTCAGTTTTGACCTTTGAGTTTTGAAATAAATGATCAAAATACTCATAATGTAATTCTATTTATATCTGGAGTTCTCAGTCAGAAACCAGCATAGAAAGTAGGGCAGTATTCAACTTAAGAAATTCGTACTCAACTAGGCAAAAGCTCTCAAACCTATTGTGTGTTTCTGTGTATCTGCAAATGCATCTCCAAAACTCAAAATGCTCTGTTCCACCTTGCGATATTTACCTTTTGTTAAGCAGAGAAATTCCAGGGCTGAAATTGTCCAAATGATTCAAGTGAGGGTGTAAGGAGCATGGATCTATTAAAATAACTGGATAGGGTGTTGCTGCTTGTAGCTGCCTTCAGTTGATGTAGTGGCCACTCACTGGTACGGAAAAAAGTGGAAAAAATCCCCTGTGATGAGAAAGGATTTTTCTCATTAAGCGCAATCACAAACAGCTTGTGTTCAGCTGACTGGGCACCAACTACTTTCAAAAATGTCGGATTTGTTGAAGATTTTTACCTTTTTTACCTGATTTACCTGACTTACCTGATTTTTAGACCATAAACTTTTTCTCAGCTCCAAATCCTTCAGCTGTCTTAAAAAAAAACGCTTTAGAATCGTTAGCTCCGACTCTACTCTGTTCTGCTCTAGTTCCTCTTGCTCTGATTGGTCAAAGCGATCACGTGATACACGAGATATATGAGCCCGAGCTCCGTATGTGCACCCACGGGAGAAAAGAGCACTACTGCACATCCTCAATATGCCCAGAGCCACCAGAAGTACCTCACAGGGCTAAAGGCGAATCTGGAATCATGCGCCATTGAACTCGGCCCGGTGACTTGAATGGACAGCCATTTTGAAACCCTGTTTAAAAACACAGTGGAGCACTTGTAATACCACATGACATCACAAGGTGCAACAGCGTGTTTTCTGTTTGAGAGAAGAACTCAGCCTAAATAGAAAGTAGGGCAGTAGTTGACTAAAGAAATTCTTGTTGGACTACAGACATGTTCTGCAAATTGATTAGTTAATTAAAAAGTGGGCGTGGCAAAAGATCTCAAAATTGTTGCATTCACAGATAAATAAATACATAAATAAAATAAATAAATGAGGTTAATCTGAGTTTTTACACAAATACCAAAAAATACAAAATCTTCAGCTAAACCTACTCACTTCTTTTTTCTGCTCTTGTCCCATATAAATCCTTATAATCTTAATACAAAAGTTTTAATACAAATTTTGGTCGACAAAGACACCATGAAATACTGAAAAGAACTAGAGCCTGAAAAGAAAGTCCACTTGTCTGTTTTTAGCCGTTATGCAAGAGTCTGAAATATTCTGTTTTGTATTACATCAGGTGTGGGACATAATGAGGCATATCCAGGGCTGCTTGTTGAAATTTCAATTCAAGTGACAGGTTTTTATCTCAAATGTTTTGTGTAGTTGGTGGGATAATACTTGTTTTAATTACAGATGTTTGTTTATATGTTTTATAGCAATCAAGAAGCAATTTGTGAAGAAAAGTTGGAAAATGTGTTGAAAATTGCACAAAGTAGGGAGTTTTAAAACACTGATTGCATCACACTTGGGAGATCAATTTGCTGAAGAAACACATTTCTGACACTTTAAACATTATTTTCCACAAAATAAAGGTATTTTCTTATAACTGTATTTGTCAAATATTAATCTCTGTGCACATTAGAGGAGTTTTGGCCCAGCGTACGACATGGTTGCTAGGTAACAGTTCTGGAAATCTCAAACAAAAATTTTAATCTAAAATATGGTCAGACTGGGAAATGTAATTTTTATTTATTTATTTATTTATTTTTATTTAATTTTATTTTTTTTTAGCAAAACTTTAATAAATATAATCAAATATAATGAACTCTGTTTCAGCTCCGTGTGTATTGGTAATATTTGGAGCACTTTTGCTAATATTTTCTGTTTTGAATAAATTGCTGACAACAGAGCTAGATTTGCATCACTCTTAAGGAAACAGTTCAGAATTTTGGACATAGGATCTCATTTCCTAGTGAGCCAGAGTGTTGGAGACGTGTGGAGACACTGTTTTAAATATTTCATCCAGTCCTTGTATTTGCAGAGGTCACTGGTGCTAGACTAGTGCATGTCAATGGCCATAGTTATCCTGCCACTAAAAACAGTCTTACCCACTCCACAAAACACCCGAAGCAAAACTATTATTACACCAGACTGTTGATGTAAATGTCTGTGTTGTTAGAATAATGTTAGAAGTAAAACCAACCTTCCATTTGAAGGATTTATGTCTGAGCAGCAGGAGTGAGTTGTACTTCCTGATAGAAAGTTTGGCAGTGGTGGATTGATATATGAGAAAATAGTCCCTCAACATGCAACGATTCATGCGATGCAGGGTTGGTTTTATTTCAAACATTATTCTATCAGTCTATTCTATCTTTAGTGGCAGGATAACTATGGCCATTGACATGCACTAGCCTAGCACCAGCGACCTCTGCAAATACAAAGACTGGATGGAATATTTAAAAAAGTGTCTCCACACGCCTCCAACACTCTGGCTCACTAGGAAATGAGGTCCTATGTCCAAAATTACGAACTGTCCCTCTTAAATCGTTGGATAAGACATTTTGATAAAACTTGTAGGACAGTAACGTTGTTCAAATTGTGAATATGCTACTTTTTCCTTTTTTAAAATGCCTTGACAAGCCTTTTGTTCTGTCATAATCCAAAGAGTTGAGATTAAATGTGTTACTTCTTCATGTTGTCTGCACTGAAATGGAGCAAAGGATCATGGTCTGTGTAGTTCCCTCTGTGCATTTAAGCGAAGAGACTTGTAATTCGATATATTGTGATGGGCCATGACTTTTGACGATACAATACTAATAACCTGTAGTGGATTTGTGTGTGCAGTTTTATTGTGTTTTGGCTGATGAATTCAGTTGAAGGCTAAATGTCAGACACTGATGCAATAGAAGTGTAAACAGGCCCATTATTACTTAACTGTTTCCCATCGATTTCTTTATCTGGCACTGACGCAGCTGGAGGAAGCCCTTATCTCTGTAACACGTCCTATTGACCTAAATTACATATTGAGCTCCATTACATGTGATGCTCTGGCGGGTTACTGCTTTGAATGTGCTTTTTAGAGTCCAATAAAACCACGAACACTAATTACTTTCTATTTCTCTCTGCAGTGTTCAGAAACTCAGTGAATTTTTCTCCAGTGACGAGATTGGAGATGAACAGGAGCCCAGCGCCATGGTGACGTCCACCTCCAGCAATCACAACCAAAACAAGTATCAGGCCGTGGTGAGTTCATGTTCACTATCGCAGCAACCTGCCGGTTAAAGAAGACATATTATGCTTTTTCTGGTACAATTATGACATGCAGAGTTATTATTATTACTGATTTATGCATGCTGGAGTAATCTTTATTGTGCAGGATTGCTCTGAAAATTCCGGTTTTCCCTACTCCCCAATGCACAGCAAACCCAGCTCACGGCAGACTGATGTGTCTCACTGTGAATTGAGTTCTACACATTATCGATCTGGAACAGCGCTCAGTGAAAGTGATCGTAAAACGTGTCACGACAACTCTTTGATTCTGATTGGTCGAAGCGTCACATCAGCGGAACAAGACAAAAAAAATCAAACTTTAGTTACATCCAGACATCTCTCCTAACCACTCACGCGCAAAATGTTTACCTTCTCCTCATTTTTCACAAATTAAAAATAAAATAGTCTGTAAAAAAGTTTCAAAAGGAGCGCTTCCTGGGCCTCCAGAGGATAATACACAGTAGAAAGAACATAGTGCTGCTCTTTGGGGAAGGGAATTCAATTTAAAGATGCAAAAAACCCAAGGCACTCACTGGTTAAAATACGCATCTGGACTTTGTCCATTAACACATGCCGTAAATTAATAATGACATTTTGTTTTAACCAGTGAGTGCCTTGGGTTTTTTGCATCTAAAATAGTCTGTATTGACCTGTTACGGCCAAAAAAAAAAAAAAAAGAGTCCCAGCATACTTAACAAGGACACGGAAACCAAGTTAAGGATTAGATTTGTAGATGTTTTTGAACCAAAAGAGAAACCCTTAACCCGTGCCCAAAAAGAACAAAGAAAAAGTAACAACAGAAAGGTAGACCTGATGAGCTGGCCAAACAAAACAAAAAGGTGCTACACCAGGCCAACCTGGTGCCAGCACCTGTAACTAAAGACAAAAAAAACCCAACAAACCTAAACCCAACAGAAAAACAAAAACAGAACAGCCGGTCCCACCAGGTCAAAACAAAAGGATAATGGCTAACAAAAAACTACCAAAATGAAGGAGCAGGGGAGCCAGAAAGGCTGTGAGGTGCAGCGACGAAGGAAGAGGAGAGAGCGAGAGAAAGAGGCAGTGCCGGGCTTGCACATTTAACAGCTCCTGCCGGAAATGAGGGCAACAATCAGCTACAAAAACATAACTAACTTACAAAAGCAAAACTACGGAAAAAATGCTACAAAAAATATAAACAATAATAAAAAACAGGGCACTGGTGTCAAACATACGGCCCAGGGGCCGGATCCGGCCCTCCAAGACCTTTAATCAGGCCCTCGGGTGATTTTCTCCTAAAATATTTTAATTATATTTTCAATTAAAATATTGGTAATTTTCTGCTGTGTTTAGCATAGCAGCTTCTGCAGTGCCTCTGTGCGTGGACGCCTCCCACCAGAGCAGCACGAATGAAGACCCTCATCAGCAAAATGTCAAAAATGAGAAAAGTGGACGCTGAGTGCAGGATTTTCCAAGAAAAATTGACTTATTCCTATTTGCGTACAAGTTAATGCTAAAACGTGTTAAAATTTCATTTTTCTTCAAGTTTCAGGTTGTTCATAATATTATAATATTTTGTAAAAGAAAGAGTTCATCAATTAAAAAAGATTTCGGTATTGATTTGCATTTCTCTGCACAAACATTTGCCATTTTTTATTAAATTTTATTTATTTTTTTGGTCCCTTTGGGATCAAAGTAGGTTGGATACAGACCCCAGACCAAAATGAGTTTGACACCCCTGGTCTATGGTATTAATGCTAAAATAGGTTGTTGGCATCACCATGTTTGTTTTGGTTCATTTGGGCGCTTCACCTTTGGCTTCTGCACAAACCTTAGTGCTGCGTCGCATTTGGACGCTTTCCTGTTTCACCAGTGAGTGCCAAGATGGATTCACTAATGAACTCACAAATATCGCCGGAATCGATCTTCCTGTGTGAGATTAATACACAGCTACTGCTCCATACTTAGCTCCTCAGTTTATACATTTTTTAAACCAGTGATACATGAAGGATTCAACAGTGTCACGTAGCCATTTTGGCACAAACAAGCAGCAGGTGGATTTGAAGAGTATTGGCAGAAATGGTTGACATTTATACCAGCAGTTAGGCCTGATTTTGTCTGGTGATTTTAATGTGTGGTATACATTTTTACCCCTATACATGATGTTTTACTAGAATTACTTACTGATTACACTGTTGTAATACTCCTCTCCCCTCACTCTCTCCTTTAATCCTCCAGTACTGCCCAGTTTAGCAGCTCTACCTGAAATATGGATGGAGTTTAGAAACACTCTTCAAAGTCGATTTCTCATAATATGTCTCCTTTAATTACACTGACATGTTATAATAATAGATTTGCTAAAAAATGCCCCTGTGCCCTCCCCTCCCCTGTATTTACCCTTTAATGTGATTTAAACCTTGTGAAACCTCGACCTCAGTCTAAGTCTGTCCCCAAATCCTCACAGCCGCTGAAGGTGGTGAACAGGAAACGTCCCCCCAGAGACGACTGGAACAGCTTTGGTTCAGCAGGACAGTGTGACGGAGACGGACCGTCCCAAGACACAGACCAGGACACATGCATCAGGGTCAGAGGATGGACTGAAAAACCCTTTAGTATTCATATTTCTACTACTGAATTATTTTAATTTATCTGATATATTTGTGTGTATGAGAATAGATTCTACTTGCAATCATTTCAGACAGCTATGTTTGGAAAATTGTCAAAAAGTACATTATTTGGAGTATAATTTTTTTTTAAAGTGAAAGATAAGACACTAATATGCCACTCTAACTTTTATTTTTGCAATTAAATTTTATCATTGCAGCTTTATATTATTATGTTATGAATGATGCATATTTTTGGCAGAAGAAAACTAACTTTCAGCACATTATTGATTGATTTATTGATTTGGAACAGTGCATGTTAATGGACAATGATGAAAACAATATGACAACAAATGTAAAATCTTGTGTTTTTTTTCCCCAGATAACAAGCGGCTACTTTACCTGGACAGACGGACCACCAACTCTGTCAAACGTAGACATCAAGATTCCTTTTGGTGAGCGCTGGATTCTCCTATTTATGTTATTTTCCAATACATGCATCCTGAATTTCGGACTTCCGGTCATCACACAATGCATACTGGGAAGGGTCCTCCAAAAAAGTGAGCATCAAACTGCCATGATTGATTTCCCAGTGGGATGCGTCTATTGTCAAAGCCGATCTTTTCAAGTCTTTTGAACCATATCGCTTTTGTTTCTGGTTCTGATATTGTCATATTTTAGTTTTTGGATTTGGACATCGTAATTGTGTGGTTGTTGGATGTCCTAACAGCTGAAAATGGACTTCAGAAGTTTGCGAACTTCATAACTGCAGAAGGGAATCAGATCTGTGTGACTGCAAACCTCCGTCCAAACTGTTTCCCTTCCCAACGGAATTGAAAAATAGTGAAAGGTGAAGGCGATGGGCAGCCAATAAAGCAAAATCCCGTTTGTAAAGCGAGAGGTACTGATGACAAGCAGGCCGAGCTCGCACTTCAACTGTTCGACTGTCTTTACAGCAACATCATCTTGGTCACTTTGCATTGGAAGGTGTTTCTTGGCGAACAGCTGGTGCCTTTCGCTTTGGCGTTGACTTTTTAAATTTGATGGTTGAGTGCTGCACATACGAAATGTTCGCTGCAAACTCAGGATGATTTCTTAGACAGTCAAAGGTTATCTTTTTCGTCCTTCCTGTGTATCAAGCCTGCCCATTGCCTTCACCTTTCACTATTGTTCAATTCCGTTGGGAAGGGAACATTTGCAGTCACACACATCTGATTGACTTTTGCATTATGGAGTCCGCAAACTTCCGAAGACCGTTTCTCGAGCCATTTTCCGCTTTCAGGACATCAAACAACCACACAATTACGATGTCCAAATCCAAAAACTAAAATATGACAATATCAGAACCAGAAACAAAAGCGATATGGTTCAAAAGACTTGAAAAGATCAGCTTTGACAATAGACGCATCCCACTGGGAAATCAAACATGGCGGTTTGATGCTCACTTTTTCAGAGCACTCTTCCCAGTATGCATTGCTCGATGACCAAAAGTCCGAAATTCAGGATACATGTATACACAAGCTTTTCACTTTTCAGTCTAATCCCTGTCTAATCATATTTTCCCTTTTCTGTCTCTCAGGTAAACTGACCATGATCGTGGGCCAGGTGGGTTGTGGGAAATCATCTCTGTTATTGGCGGCGCTCGGAGAGATGCAGCGAGTCTCAGGACAGGTCGTGTGGAACAGGTCAGATTTGCTCTATTTATTAATTAAAATTATTTTGAGGAGTTTTCATAATTCAAAAGAAATAATAATATGTTGTTAAAATTGTTAAGCGCTTTGGCCATGGTTCAGATTTTGTATAATTCATAAAATTAGTTTAATTATTCCAAACTAAATGTCGAGGTCGATCTTTTCACCTCATAAACTACAGTACTAATTTCTATAGAAGATCATTTGTTCCATCAGATTTAGAATTTCTCGCGTGAATTGTTTGAATGTTAAAGATGTTTGAATTATTTTTATTCTGGATTTTAGTTGCTGAAATTTTAAGTATACTTTTTCAATATAATAAAAAAAAAATCACCTTTTTAAATATTCAACACATATATTTTCAAGCTCTCAAATTCAACAGTCAGAATTGTGTAAAATTTGCAGAGAAAATTTTCACAGCAGAGTGCTAAGACATTGAATTTGAGGGCTTGAAAATATTTGTGCTGAATATTTAAAAGATAATTTTTTTAAATATTGAATTTTAAACAGTTTGAAAAAATATACTTACAATTTCAAGTATAAAAATTATTCAGAATAAAAATAATTCAAACATGTTTTTTCAGAGTAAAAAAATCCAAAGCGAGAAATTCAGCGGTGTTTAAAATTCAAAATCTGATGGAACAAATTATCTTCGATAAATTTCTTCCTCCATTGGTAGCTGATTGTGGTTAAAATTGAAAACTACATGCATGAAAACACATACTGAATCCAGTAAGAAATAAATAATAAATAAATATATCTTTAAATAAATCAAGATTGAGAAATGTGTAGCCAAAATGATGCCCAGGACAAATATTCAAATTTCAAAAGCAGATGACAAGTTCATTTTGTTGCCAGTTAAAGGACAGCTTGTCCTGGAATTTGAGTGAAAATGTGAGTGTTTTTATTCTGAGAGTGGACGCATTATCCAACACAGAGAGTATCTGGGGCAGGCTGACAACTTGAGGTCTTCTGGTCATGGTAAATCAGCTGGAGAGTGAGCATGTCATCCTCTTGTGTATCACGCATACAAATGAATGCAGTGTGAATGTACAGCAATTTTATCAAACTATAGACTGTATGTAAATGAACATAGGTAACATTCTAGCTGCTGCGTTCCAGATAGGAAGTGGTTCTTTTGAGCTCTGGTTGCAATTCACTTTCTATTGAAAAGCTTTCACCCCTCTCTCTCTGTAACTGCTGCTGTGAGCCTCGTCATTTTGGTCTTAAAATGTTCATATTACCGTATTTTTCTGACTATAAGGTGCACTTAAAATCCTTTAATTTTCAAAAAAATCGACAGTGCGCCTTATAATCTGGTGTGCCTTATGTATTAATTGTGGTTGTGCTTACTGACCTCGAATCGATTTTATGTGGTACACGGCGCTCAAAAATCTGTCAAAATGTTTTAATACGACTTTGGTAAACTACGAAGCCGCACCACATGATGAGTTGTTGGAGCATTACAGCTACCGTAGTCAGGAACATCATGGAGTTAGGGTCTGTTAGTTAGTCTGACAAGAGCTGACCGCATCAGCGCACAAGGAGTGAGCTGTTTTTTTAGAGCTTATAGTTTATGCAAATTAGCCATGTGGTTTTAAGGTTTGTTTCTGTAAAATGTAAACAAATGTGTGCAAAGCTGCATGAAACACATTATTACTCAATGTATATTTGAGTCATCCTCGTAGGAAATAAAAATTCAAACTTAAATTATCCACCCACATTCACATTCATAATACACATTCACAAAGACAGGGAGGCAACGCTGGTCAAACACCACGATCTGCCAATGGATCGTGGACGCCTGGGCTAAGGATCAGTCTCAAGTGTCGTCCGCTTGTTTCGCTTAATGCACCTTATAATCCAGTGCACCTAATGTATGAAAATAAATGAGAGAATTCAACATTATTGATATTGTACCTTATAATCCGAAAAATACGGTAACCTATTGTACATGGTCCTGGTGTTTTTATTTCGCTGTTGGATCCCTAAATCAAGACATGAACATTAAAGACAGACCAGTCCAGTTCCTGTTTTCCTCAAGGTTGCTCTTGTGAGCGTTATGAACAGGTTGAGTGACAGCCTTGTTCCTAAGCACCTGCTCCCTGCCAAACCATCAGTGTGAGCAGGAGGGGGGTTTACCTTCAACAGTCTCAGTCCTGATTGGTTCTTTGGTATCAAGCTTGAATTTCCGAATACGGTCTGTGGTTGCAGATTCGCTGCTATAACGGCTACCCTCGATGAGCTTCATTTGGTTGCAACTGAAAGCTAAAACACACAATTTTAAAGTGCTCATATTACGCTATTTTCTGATCTATATTATAATGTTGTTTCCTTTTCAAAAATTGGTTTAGTCCTGGTTTAGACCTGGTTTAGTCCTTGTTGAGACCTGGTTTAGACTTAGTTTAGACCTGTTTTAGTCCTGGTTTTAGTTCTGGTTTTAGTCCTGATTTTAGTTCTGGTTTTAGTTCTGGTTTATATCTGGTTTAGTCCTGTTTAGATCTAGTTTTTTTTTTTTTTTTATATAATTTTTATTTTTTTTAAATTTTTCAATTATACAGAACAAAATTAAACCAAACTGAAAAAACAAACAAACAAACAAACAAACACAGAGGAGAAGAGTGCCGTTACAGTTGTTCAATGAAATATCAATCAAGATGTATGTACGCTAATCATTTTCAAATAAAGTCCGATCTGAGAGGTTTCACATACTCAGTCCATTTCGTCCATGTTTCATAAAATAAGTCCCTTTGGTTCTGGAGGGTAAAAGACAGCTTTTCCATCACATAAATCTCAAAAACTATTTCTATCCACTCCTCTACTGATGGAGGATCCGCCCTCAGCCATTTTCTTGTAATGGCTTTTTTGCTTGCTATAAGTAGGATTGCTAGTAACTTCCATCCATCCATCCATCCATTTTCGTCCGCTTATCCGGGGCCGGGTCGCGGGGGGAGCAGCCTAAGCAGGGACTCCCAGACTTCCTTCACCCCAGACACGTCCTCCAGCTCCTCCGGGGGGACCCCGAGGCGTTCCCAGGCCAACCGAGAGACATAGTCCCTCCAGCGTGTCCTGGGTCTTCCCCGGGGCCTCCTCCCGGCGGGACATGCCCGGAACACCTCCCGAGGGAGGCGCCCAGGAGGCATCCGGAACAGATGCCCGAGCCACCTCAACTGGCTCCTCTCGACGTGGAGGAGCAGCGGCTCTACTCCGAGCTCCTCCCGTGTGACTGAGCTCCTCACCCTATCTCTAAGGGAGCGCCCAGCCACCCTGCGGAGGAAACTCATTTCGAGCGCTTGTATCCGCGATCTTGTCCTTTCGGTCACTACCCAGAGCTCATGACCATAGGTGAGAGTAGGAACGAAGACTGACCGGTAAATCGAGAGCTTCGCCTTTCGACTCAGCTCCCTCTTCACCACAACGGTCCGATACAGCGACCGCATCACTGCCGAAGCTGCACCGATCCGCCTGTCAATCTCACGTTCCGTCCTTCCCTCACTCGTGAACAAGACCCCGAGATACTTGAACTCCTCCACTTGAGGCAAAGACTCCCCACCCACCCGGAGAGGGCAAGCCACCTTTTTCCGGTCGAGAACCATGGCCTCGGACTTGGAAGAGCTGATCTTCATCCCAGCCGCTTCACACTCGGCTGCAAACCGCCCCAGTGCACATTGCAGGTCCTGGTTCGATGAAGCCAACAGGACAACATCGTCCGCAAACAGCAGAGATGAAATCCTGTGGTCCCCAAACCGGACCCCCTCCGGCCCCTGACTGCGCCTAGAAATTCTGTCCATAAATACAATGAACAGAACCGGTGACAAAGGGCAGCCCTGGCGGAGTCCAACATGCACCGGGAACAGGTCTGACTTACTGCCGGCAATGCGAACACAGCTCCTGCTCCGGTCATACAGGGACCGGACAGCCCTTAGCAAAGGGCCCCGGACCCCATACTCCC